GTAAATTAATAAAGGATAACCAATTGAACTACTGGTCCTCATTATTTAGGCTACACAATGTCTTACACCAGTACTTGTCCAATTACCTATTTCATACCAATGAATGAAAATCGAAATGTGAAAAAAACAATTGAGATAATTTCTATATATTTTCACCAAACAAAGTGCAGAAACGAAATGTTTTCGCTCCCAAATAGCCTATTAAATACTGGCCAGCATAGAACAAACTCTGTAAATAAATGTACTCACCTCATTTATTGATTGCAGTTTCTCCGATATATTTCTTTTTTAAATTAACACAATATCAGCATCAGAAGTTTGTAAAGTATACTAAACAATCATAAATTATTTTTAATTACCCACTCTGCACTACCGGAAGTAAAATACACTTTTATGATGTATCCAGTTAAAATATATAGTTCAGTGCTTGGTAACCAAGCCTTAAAGCGAACCCAAAAAATTTTTCTGCTCACGGCTTGGTCGCGAGACAATCCAATATGGCGGTAAAGAGGGGTTAAAATTTATGATTTATATTTATTCACACATTGAAATACGATGACTTGTGGATGAAAATGGAGCGACTTAATCTTGGAACTACGTGTCTGTTTTGTAGTAGCATGATTGCTGTACACTTTTCAGCACTATTTACAAAATAGTACGTATTGCACTATTGGTTTAATGGTTTTCGAAGCGTCTACCATGTTTCCTATTTGGAGTCATCTTGACACCTATAATAGGCATTTGAATCCGTTTTGGCGCTCGAATGAAGGCGAAATTTGGTAAAATATGAGCTACAGAATTATTTTAAAGTATAACAACCAGCGAAAAAGTAAGCCACTAAGGTTTCGAGTAAAATTGAGTAATTGACCCATTAAATGTTTTAAATGTTTATATATATGAACAAACCCGACCGGCGACCTCTGAAGTCTGAACTTTGATAAATAAAGCTTATTATATTTATTGCGCGTTGACGCGTTCTAAATCTGTATCATGCAGCGCCGATTTCTCATTATTTCGCGATATGGTTCGGCTCATGATCACGCACATTTTCGTTCAGTGCCGATGTTTATTGTTTGCGACGTAACTCTCTACTCTCCAAGGACTCCAAGATGTTGACAGTTGTTGTTAGAATTTAGTAATGTAATACGATCCTTTAATATGATGTCTGTGCTCATGTCGAATAGTTCACTCAATATAGACACAATAAAAGTGCAACAGTGTTGTATTTATACGCGATTCTTGTTCACGTTTAACTATATATTGTACTTATCTCGCCTCTGTTTCAACATATCATTTACGAACAATTGAAAATACTTTATTAGTCAATGTCACCAATTGTGTAATGTGTATTGATGTGTTTCATAATATTTTGTTTCACGGCAGGACCATTGGCCTTATATAGGTTAGTGAGCAGGAGTCTCTATTATTATGGCGTGTATGACGAATTCGTCACGCGAAAAACGCGTTCTGATTGTGCACGCATAAGACACAGTTACTGTGGGTTTTACCAGCCTAGACCTAGGCCTTCTATTTTTGTTATTTTTTTTAATACATTCAGCGCTTTTTCACATGAAAAGACTGGGACTAGGTGATTTGGGGCCCAACAAAAATTTTTCAGGGGCCCCCAGCAACTCGGGGCCCGCGGCAATTTGTCCCCCCTGCCCCCCCCCCCTCTGGGCGGCCCTGTGTTTGGCGGCCATTCACTTTTTAAAGTTGTCGATTGACCACTGGACACCATTGAACTATAAATAAACTGGAACGATAAGTTCGCCGCCATCTTTGAAGCCGGCTATGAGTGTTTTCTGCAGGTAACCCCAGTCCTTTTTAAAATTTTTTTTCAAAATATGCACATTTTTTGATCAGAAAAATCTTGCCCCAAAATATTAGTTTTACCACCAAATTTAATTTATATCAGTAGTATGATAAACGAATTTAATATTCGCAAATCAAACAAATCACGAATTAGCAAAAAAATACGAAAAAACACGACCATAAGCATTAACGGTCAGAAAAACCGCGCGTTTTAGGCTGGTTTTTCTGAGTTTTTGAAAGTTTAAGATAAAACTAAGACGTCATACCTCGGGAATTATTTAAACCCATGCAAAATACATCTGTGTGCGAAGTTTCAAGAAGATTGAACGTTTTGAGGTCGAAAGAAAAGCATTTAAAAATTGACAAAAATATTGCCATATTCAAAGTGCTCATAGTGGCCAACAAGAAGAGCGATGACGAAAATAACATCACTTGAAAAACGCCAATTTATTTATGTTTTAGAAGCAATAAAACAAGGACTAAAAGCTCAGGATCAATAACAATACCTGGGATTTAGTACAGCATAAGTTTTGGGACTGTCAAAATGTTTTATAGTATATTTTTTTGTGTTGAAGAGCGAAGTTTCCTTCGGCACGTCAAACTTTCGTCATTTTTTCAAAATGCAAAAGCAAAACTCCTTACTTTTTGCTGCAGAAAGATGTAAAACAGTTGGAACTAATTGGAAAACCTGGTTTGAATCCCAATCATAGCAGTATTCCCATGGAAAAAGTGTTTTTCTTGCACATTTTTGCTCGAAAACAAACTTTTGACCGAATTTTTCTCAAACCAGGTAACTTTTGTCTTATTTTTCTCCAATCTCGTTCCCCGAGCCTGCGATCCTCGGGAAGGAACGCGAGGCTCTGGGATAATCCGTTACCGGAAGCCAGGAATTGTGGCTAAGATTGAACTACGCATTCCATTTCAACGGCCAATCAGATTGCTCCCTGAAACGGATTATCCCAGAGCCTCGCGTTCCTTCCCAAGGATCGCAGGCTCGGGGAACGAGATTGATTTTTCTCACTCCTCGAAACTCTCCTTAGTCCTTTTGAAAGCTGATTTTCCCGTGCGCGGGCTGCTTCAACGAATCATAGGCCTTCATCATAGGAGTTAGCCTTCCAGTTTATTTATAGTTCAATGCTGGACACTGGACAGGGTGGGCAACGATGTATTGCTATTCGTAGATTCATGTACGCGTAGCGAACCTATTTTTTTCAACGCGGCCAACATACAGAAACGTACAAACTAGCCTTCAGGGCATAATATGAAGTCAAAATGGAATTGTCCCACGATATGTATCGATCAATTCGAAACTTTACCATCCCCCCCCGGGCCGACCCCGGGAATTTGAACTTTTTGAAATTTGACTGATCAAATTCTCCACCCCCTATGCAAAAAATGTCTTCAAATGCCCCACTGTAACAAGAAATTAAGCGTTTAAATGCCCCACCTTCATATGAAAATTATGAAACAGTAAATACAAGTACAAAATATACGGAAATGTTTTTCGACAAGATAGCGAAATTCACGTAAAAAGTTTGGATACCTTTCCATGCCCGTTTCTTTGAGCCAGTTTTTCACAAAATTGAGGCCGTTTCCCTCGAAATCTGAGAAAACTGTATTTGCCGCCAATGCCAAGTATTTTCTGTGCATGCAAGAAGCACGCGAAAACGGGCAAAATTTTAAGACTTCCGGTTCAAATTCCCCACCCCGTTATCAAATGCCCCACCACATGGAAGACCTGGAACGTCAAATTCCCTACTCCCTGGAGAAGACTTGAAGTCAAATTCCCGGGGTATGCCCGGGGGGGGGGATGGTGAAGTTTCGAATTGATCGATACAATAACGTAAGTTTTTTCCTTCTATCTGTCAGACTATAATAGCTTCTTGACCGAACGCGAGGTCTGTACTGGGAAATATCAGACCAAGGTTATTTAGTATGGACTGAGCGACTAAGGAGCGAGGTCCATGCAAAAAACAGAGGTCTGATATTTCACACAGCGTTCGTGCACTGTCTCCCATTTAAAATTCCATGACTTTTCCATGACTTCCCATGACCATTTTTTTCAAAATCCATGACGTGGAAGTCTGGAATTTCTGAAATTCGTTAATATTTTAACGATAATAGATATAATAAAAGAACAAAATTCACTTCGCTTTTGCAAAAATCCGTTATATAACAATTCATATTATTGTTATGACTGGTAAATTGAAACAAGTAAAATACTTTCTTAATGTTATGTAAAATTTCAATTTTCCATGACTTTCCACGACTAAAATTGATTGTCCAGGATTTCCACGCCTGGATTTTGGAATATTGAAATTCCATGACTTTCCAGGTTTTCCAGGACCCGTACGAACCCTGTTCACAGTGCAGATCGAACAAGCCAGGTTTTCCAAGCAAAGTAAAACACTTGTACCATTATATCTGTCAAAAACATATAGCTATCACATCATGGTACACGTTTACTACAACCGTGAGATATATAATGTCAATAAACACACAAAAATTAAGCAATTTCATTTATTTGTTCAAATTTTACCTGAGAAATGACCGGCCATCTTGCTTCGACTCACTGATCGGGACCATATTTGAACGGGACCATTGATTGGGACCATACGAGATCTCCTATATCTATGATTGGGACCATTGATTGGGACCATTGATCGGGAAATTTCAAAAATTTCGTTTTCTTACCATAACTATTAGTACATTAGCAATAGCTACATATACGTTAATCTTAGCTCCTATACTTATTACCATTCCAGCAATACCTGTAAATAGGTCATGCTTTTGAATAAATGACATAAATATAATAATAATAATACCCGGCCATATTCGAATACGAATTTCGCCGATTTAATACAAAATGTTTCATGATCATAATAATAACTAATAAATACTGGATCCTTCATTCGTTTTTTATTTTATTTTTTTAATATTTAGAGGATTTCATCCTCCAAGACGACGTGAATTCTCCTCGAATTTGAAATTTCCTTGTGGTAGTGCTTCCACTTGATATTTGTGTCACAAATATAATAAAAAATTGTTGATTTCAAAAACAAAAATTTTGATTGTTTTAGCAATTACATCATTGATCTGATGTTGAATTCAATGTAATCGTTCGTGTGATGCATATTTTTCATATTCGGAAGAATGCGTTAATAAAACCTTTCCAGAAACTGCTAACAATGAGTTTTCACGGCAGCAAAAGTGACAGTGCCGAGTTCAAATCATTATTATCAAAAACCAGAAATGTTGTGTTCCTGACTGGTGCTGGGTGCAGTGCAGAAAGCGGCATACCAACATTCCGGGGTGCTGGAGGGTTATGGCGTAAATATAAGGCTACTGAACTAGCCACCCTGGACGCATTCAACACCAACCCCTCGTTGGTTTGGGAGTTTTATAGCTACAGACGGGAGGTTGTTTTAACGAAGAAGCCTAATGATGCACACCATGCAATTGCTGAGTTTGAGAAACGCATGGTTAAGGAAGGCAGAGAAGTTCATGTCATTACACAAAATGTCGATGGTTTACATCAAACAGCGGGGTCAAAAAATGTTATTGAATTACATGGTAACATGCATTTTGATAGTATAAATTAACCCATCGAGTGGCAGTACTCTCCACTTGACGGGTAAAATCGTCTGGCATTAGACAGCTCGTAAAATGCTAAAGTAGGGCGCATCAGGATGCATTGGCACTTAAAGGGTTAAGAGATGGGGATGCATGGGCAGGATGCATGGGCAGTTTGTTTGGTTAACCCATTGAGTGGCAGCACTCTCCACTTGACGAGTAAAATCGTCTGGCGTTAGACATATATAGTAAACAATACTAAAGTAGGGCACATCAGGGTACATTGCCACTTAAAGAGTTAAATTAAGTAACAGCACTCTCCCTTTGACAAGTAAAATCATCTGGTGTTAGACAGAGTAAAATGATAAACGGATGGGCATTTGGTCACATTGCTGCTTAATGCTAACCTGAGTATCAGGCTCTATTTTACAAATAATAGCCTGACACAAACCTTAATCCGATCGCTTTCCGCCCACAGCAAAGTTTAAGTTTAGTATCCAATCAAAATGTCGCAGGAGAAATTTAAATTTCATACAACGACAATAACAATCTAATTATAGTTGTGATCACTATAAAATATATCAACAACAATAGTATAATCTAATTAGCACCAACCAATCAAATTACAGATTAAAAAATATTTTGTCTAATAAACCAATCAGATTTACAACCGTAATACGGTTGTAACAGCATGGACTTTTGTTAAGATTTGTATCAGGCCTATTTATTTATTGATAGGCCTGATCGCAGGTTAGCTTAATGCAGACCTGCCAACCTTAGCGACTGGTATATAGGGAGATTTCTTATTTAAACACTAAATTTCCTCTACAGGGAAACTCCTGGCTATGTTGGGAGAGTTGGCAGGTCTGCTTAATGGGTTAACAGATACATCGGTATATAGTTTGGGTGTAAATATCCCTTTGAGAAGTAAAATTGTCTGGCATTAGACAGAGTAGAAATATGACAAGGTGCACATTGCCGCTGATTGAATGGGTTAATTTAACAGACACATTAGCATGCAATAAACTGGTGGGTGCACTGCAGTTTTTAAGGGGTTAACACTCAGAAACACTCACTTGACAGATAGTTTGGTTTAACCCATTGAATGCCAGCACTCTCCCCTTGATAAGCTCTATCTTGCAGTTAGAGCTCAACAAGTTGACTGTGTACGGTGGCACTGCCAGCTTGATAATTGGCGGGGGGGGGGGGGGTTCATATCTCCATGTTCTGCATTATTAACTTCTTTTGAAATCGATTGTTTTTATGGTCTGTGAACACAAATATATGAATATTTCCCCCCCCCCCCCAATTATCAAGCTGGCGGCGCCACTGACTGTGTAGCTCAGTCCGACCCTGTTGGGTGATTTTGCTTTGAAACAAACACATACTTTCAGTATCCTGAAATATTGTGTGGATTTTTAGGGTCTCTGTTCAAGACCCGTTGTGTAAAGTGTGGAAAAATTGAAGAAAATAGACAAAGTCCTATCGTTCCAGCATTAGCAGGAAAAGGGTATCTAGGACAATATTTTAAAAATTCTTTGCAGAAATTTGTTTAACAGTGAAGTTGGAGCCCCCCCCCCAGCCACCACATTCCCCCTACATGCAACAGGGCTTTCAAAATAAGCTGGTGACCAAATGTTGCTTTTATCCTGAATCATCAGTGTGTCTAGATGGGATAATGAAACATATCTTCTGTTTTTACCTTATTTATTTTTTTGTGACACTAATTGTCATTCCCCTCCTGGCCCCACTCTTTTGAATACAGCTTACTTTTCCTGGTGCTTTTAATACTTTCAAATGAAGAGTTTTCTTATGCATGATACATTATTAGGTAGTATTACATTTAACAAATATAAAACATTTTCCGTGTTGATATACAGTTATATCAACACTCGTGGAATTGGGAAAACTCGAAATTGTATGGAAACACGACGCCCGAAGGGTGGAGTGTTTTCATACAATTTCGAGTTTTCCCAACTTCCACGAGTGTTGATATTTAACAATTATTGAATGAGGTTGAACACGGTATGAAGAATTATCAAGCCCGAAGTTTGCCGTTATCAACCGAAGCCGAAGGCTGAGGTTGATAACGGCAAACTGAGGGCTTGATAATTCTTCATATTGTGCGAAAACCGAATTCAATAATTGTTTTATTATTTATTTTAAAAGTTCAAAACAAACATTTGTATTTTATTTGTATTAAGAATAAAACAATTCCTTAGTCCTTTGGCAGCCGTCGTCGCGTCATATCAATGGCGTCAGCGAGTCAATAGTAATATGGCGCAAACGCGTCCAAATTTTTTTCATATTGACTCTTTGACGTCATTTTGCTAATATGAATGTGAAAAATCCGAGTTGATATGACAATTTCACAGTTGGCTGTTAGCCAATCAGAAACCAGGAATTTTTTAAATAAATAATAAAACTATATATCAATACGGAAAAAATGTTTTATAATTTTTTTTATAATATAGCAATGTCAAAAGCCCGAAGGGTAAGAAAAATTTCCGTGTTTACAAGCGGCGGAAAATTTCCCGTGTTGACATTGAGTTATATCAACACGGCTCTTAGCCAATCAGCGTTCAGAATTTACAAATGCTATATTATAATACTGTATATTACTGACGCTGCATCGTAGTTGCATCCCTTTCGTTAAAAATAATTTCTGACCGTTTCGTTCCTCCTCAAAAGTGCGCAAAAAAAATGGGAAAAATGAAAATTAATGGTAATTATGTATGCAAAAATTAATTGACTGTATAATATATTGCAAGTCTCAAATAACAGATATTAAACACTTGACACTGCCCCGTGGAAAAATTGAAAATCTTCAATCTAATTTCTCTCAGGACTCCAAAATCCCAAGTCTGGCCATAGCCTTCAGAAATAAATAAAACTACCTGACGCTTCCAGACCTGCCAACAGTCGTGGTTTGGTCGTGAGACTCGCGGTTTCTCACGACAAAGTCTTTAAATCTCACAATTTTTGAGACAACCCTGAACCCTTGTTTTCACTTGTTTTGTAGAAACATTGCGCTCAGTGTCCAATGAAATGATCATGACAGAGGGGCCTGTACCGGTTTTGCGGGATGGGCCATAATTTCGAGCGGTATTCGGGATTTTAAGAAGAATGTGCGTCGGGAAACGGGATTCAATATCATCGCGGGAAGCGGGACTAACAAAAAAATCAAGGCGAGATGCGGGAAAGTAAGCTATGATTTAGCGGGATACGAGATATATATCATATATCAACAAAACTTGCAGCCGAATTTTAGTTTAATTTATTGTCAATTGTTTTTAAAAATTTCATTCTTTCTATATTAAAATTATCCTTCTATTGCTCCACCTATCCCCCTTGATTCTCTGTTATCGGCGAATTATATTGACGAAGTGGTTAGCGCACTTGCCTTTCACCTCTAAGGTCGCAGGTTCAAATCTCTGCCTATTAGTGTCTACCAGTATCCTAGTCTATCCCTAGTGTATCCTATTGCAACCTATTGTTGTTGTTCAGTTGCTGAAAAATGGAGCCATATTGTTGAAATGCGCCAAAATATGCAAACAAAATAAAAAAACAGAGAAAGGTTATGCAAGTAGATAGAAGCAAACATAGAAACTACAGTCGATAAATTTGACATAAAAATGAAGGGTCCATGCTCAACTTTACTGTTTTTAGCGATAGTTATTGAAAATTTGTCCGTCTTCAGTCTCATCAATGTCATCATCCCTCATCTACATGTATGATTACATTGATTGCGGTTTAATAAGATTTAGAAGCAGTTTTTATTTTTAGACTACATGATATTGTATTCTTCGTGTTAACACGTTCTTTCAAAATCTCGCTATCCATTGTCTACTTCCAAATCATGACTACTTTGGGCAGTATCAGAAAAAAGGCGGCAACGGGAAATTGGGATGAGGCATGGCGGGATAACGGGATTTCAAGTGAAAATTGGTCGGGATGGCGGGAATTTTGTTCCCAAACTTATACTAAACACTGCAGTCCCAGTACATATGTTTAGCAGAGACATTCATGATTTTTAAAATCTGAGCTAAATGTACGTAAAATGAGGAACTGATACATTTAATCCATAAGAAAACCTGGGAAATTTCTAAAATCTCACGGTTTTTCACTCTGGGGTTGGCAGGTCTGAACTCTGAACGACGTTTGTACGAGAGCTACAAATTTGCAATCAATTAAAATAATTATTATAGAAGTATAGAACATTCTCTTTTCTGTTCAGGGAGCCTCAGCTTGATGCTGTTGATGCTAAAATCCCTGTTGAGGAACTCCCAAGGTACTATGATTTTTTCTGTGTTGATGTTATGTACTCAGATGAATATGATGTTTGTGATGTTACTCTGAGTGTATATCCACACCGGACAAGCTTGAAAAATATGCCTGGCCACGGTGGCCAAAGGTCGCAGGTTCGATTCCCACCGTGGCCAGGCATATTTTTCAAGCTTGTCCGGTGTGGGTATGCACTCAGAGTAACATCACAAACATCGCAAGGTACTATATAATTATTACTTCGCTTCTTGTTCTAAGATAGCGTGCATTTCAAAGCATGTCCTCTTCTTTTGTAACCGTTGTAATATGCTAACTTTTAGGTGTAGCCAACCGGGGTGCGACTCACTAGTGCGTCCACATGTGGTGTGGTTTGGTGAAGCGCTTGAATATAAAGTGTTAGAAAAGACAGACGAAGTACTGGAAGCATGTGATATGTGTTTACTGGTTAGTTCCACAAGGACTCTTTGTTATTATACATGGATTGGTCATTGGTGCGTAGGGACACGCACATTATGTCGGAATTTCTTTTAGAATAATAGGGTGTTTTTTTCGAAACCGGGAATAACAGGCAGAAGCGGGAATAATAGGGAAACGTGTCGGTATGACGTCATAGTGCCAACGTAAATTCCGTAATTAGCATATGCGCCATCCGCCCACGGGCCAGAGGCGCGGCGTGCATGTGTGTACCGTCTCTGAATACGTCGTGTACGTAGAATTTTTGTACTAATAGCGTTTATGCATTATTTGTTTCTTTAACCATTATGCAAATTTCAAATAAAATTAAAAATCTTGACGAAATTTCCAGCTCCACACCCATTATATAAATAAAACGAAACATGGCTGGGAATAAATGTTTCCTAGTGGTTTGCTCGCCTTTAGGAAAGAATGTTTGTTGGTTTGTCCACCTTTGGGAAACATTAGTTAGGAAACAATGTTTGCTCCTTTATCCACCTACGGGAAATATCGTATTGTTTTGCTACGTCCCTTCTCTCTTTCAGTAAAAGTAAGAGAAGAAAAAACTTTTTAATCATTTCTGTTCAGAGCTCCGAGACATAATTTTATTTTTAAGATCGGAACATCTTCTGTGGTTTATCCAGCGGCAGGGTTTGCACCAAGTCTTGCCGACCGAGGTGTTCCAGTGGCAGAGTTTAACCTTGAAGAAACACCAGCTACAGGGGCATTTAGGTAATGCTTTTTACCTTGCTTTTTATTTGTTGCCCAAATCCTGGGTACGAGGATGCCCAAATCCATGCTTGTACTGCAGATTCTATTTTCGTGGCGGTAGCCACAGTGTACACACTTGAAATGTTATCATGCTTATCCCATATTTGTAAAATTATTCTTTCAGCCGCCCAATTTCTCACCACACACGCTTATTCATTAAAATAATTTTGAATGCCCTGTGCAAAATATTTTGCCCCCATAGTGAAGGTGTATTTTATTTAAAGCACTGTTCAGCCTTCAACAATTATGCATAATTCAATTATGCATAATTCAAGATAAGTAAACTCAATGTTTTTAACAATAAAAAATGTTTTAGAATGTTAAAAACATTAAGTTTGCTGATCTTGAATTATGCTTACTAGTAATTGATTTTCCTAGTTAGTTTTTTCAATTAAAAGGACTGAAATGCGCCTTAAAAACCATCATTCGAAAGGCTGAATTGTGCCTTTAAAATATAAGCGAAAAGACAAAAATAACTTAATTCAGAAGAGTGGTTTAATCGACTTGTGACCAAACCTTGCTTTTATTCTGAATGATCAGCAGGCTTTACGTTTTATTATGCATAAACCCAAACTATTGTCTTTTTCTACAGGTTTCATTTCCATGGACCAGCTGGCCAAACCTTGCCTCCTATCTTACTGGAAGAATAAGATCAACATTGAAATGAATGATAACTTGACGCTCGGCAGCAATGGAAGATGCACATGAACAAACATTACAAAATATATTTGACTATTCCTAAAATGTATGTTAAAATTTCTCTACTATGATGTCGTGATATATTCTACACGTATATGGAAGGAAACTTAGCTATACACATGCTATATGTAACAAGAATAAACTGTACACAAGTTACATGCAAGGCGAAATAAAGTTGGCAAACATTAATTCTCCTCGTCAAAACCCATCGTTCATTCTTTCTTGGACATTTTGCCAACGATATCTCTCGATTGCAAAAGCATGTGGATTTCTTTGTATCGCGAATTCGGTGTATTTTAGGCAATTGACCTTTTCATCAATACCGACATCATCTTGAATCGTGTTGAATTGTGATATAGGCCCACTTAGCCACACTAATTAGGAGGAAGTGCTCGACAAAATCCACCATGTTTCTAGAGACACGTTTTTGATTGGCGGAAGATAAGAGCACTTCCTCCAGGTAAGGTCAGTGTATAGCCCAGTGATCTCAACACTACTCTGGATAGTTCGCTGGCGCAAAAATGAAGCCAGTACAACATTGTAAGATGTACGAGGAATTGTGTCTAAGGCCTGTTTCAAACGTCGCATTTTGTACATGTCGAATTTAATAGCTTGAATGGACCATTTACATTATAGACTAAATTTTGATCTAAACAAGTCTAGACAAAAATTTCATCACAGCTTGAAAGAGCATCACAAAATTAGTAATATTCCAAAGTTTCGTTGCGAAATGATGTAAAATACGGATAATACAGCCTTGCGACGTTTGCCGTTTTTCAGTCATTTTGCATTACGCGGGGGAAATTGACAGCCTTTGGGGCTGTCAATTTCCCGTTTGTAATACAAAATGACCGAAAAACGGCAAACTTCGCAAGGCTATATTATCCGCATTTTACAACATTTCGCGACGAAACTTTGGAATATTATTACTAATTTTGTGATGCTCTTTCAAGCTGTGATAAAATTTTTGTCTAGACTTGTTTAGGTCAAAATTTAGTAAAAAATGCAAATGGTCCATTATGCTACATGCAAAATTCGATATCTGAAACAATTAAATTAGACGTTTCTGATTATGGTCGATCGTAACGTTAAATTCGATGGGTGTGCATGGTCGTATAATGGGAGCAAACTGCGACGAGGTTTCAGACTCATTAATTTAATTCGGTTGGACGTAGCTTTAAAGACTTCACGTAAGGCCACATAAAAAAATTTACTTGTTTAGCGTCCACCCATTTTAATTTTTCTAGGTCGGGCGGGCGGGTTTTTTTGTTTGTTTTTTTTCGTAAAATGCAACACAAAATTCTGCTAAATGCAGGAAATCCAGTATTTTACCACAGTCAAAACTCACTTTAATTCTTTCAAAATCCGTTCATGTTTTTTGATACCGTTCATGTTTTTAATAAAACAGAAAATTACCGTTTGGCGGTCACGCGCGAACACTTTAGCTGCGAACAGGCATATTCTGGGAAGGAAACTTTGTGTAAACGTATTACATAGTTCCCAGAAGAATAAAATCACCATTTTTTCAAGTAAAACGGTCTTTTTTATAGAGAGTTTTTGCACTAAACTCGGACAGATTAAAAAAAAAAAAATAATTGGAGGTCGGGGACTTTTATCAGGTCGGGCGGGGACGCTAAACAAGTAATTTTTTTATGTGGCCTAATGTTACTGGTATTGAAATGTCACATGTTGGCACTTCGGAAAAAGACAAATTAATCTTTAGATATTTCTATTTTCCGAAAAATTTAGGCTTAAATATTCTTGCTACTTTCTTAAATTTCGGAGTTAAGTACCACACGGTACTATTGCAGTGGTTTGTAATACAGTACAAATCATCCTTGCGAAGCACATGTGTTCATACGTTCCTCTGAGGGTTGTTCTTTGAACGATCTGCGTATGTTCTTAGTAATTTTTTAAAAATTTTGTCTATTTTAACCTTAATCATCTTTATAAACGAGATTTTTATACGTCTCAAGCTTTATATCATTCCAGGCAACGCCCAAGCCGAATTGAATTCAGTACATGCAAAATTCGATGTCTGAAAGGGCGTCGAATTTTGCATGTACAATCTAGTGGAAATTAATTTGTAGACTAATGAAAATTTCCAAGATTTCCCCCCCTCCCCCTTTACAATGTTGACTTGTCATTCAATAATCATGTTTTGAACCATTGTACTGGGGAGAGTGGGTGGGGGTTACTATTTCCAGCGATCAAGGAAGTTTGTATTAACTAAAAATAGAATGGCTTTACAAAATAGTAAGACAAGGTACGTCACAGTCAGTTTAATAATTTCCATGATTGTAGCTCGCGGAAATTGTAGCTCTCTCTCTTGAATATAATGTTCGACAGATGCAAAATGCGACGTCTGAACCAAGCCATAATTTTACTGACAAAAGAACGAGATAAAATGGTACACTATTTTCTGACATATCATGTTGAAAAGGTGTTGGGCATTTAGTAACGAGGCTCTAACCTTGGGGAATCGCTACGGATGAAATTCATGAAAAGCTCAATTGCTAATTCTAAAATTTGACGCGTGTAAAAGGATGTCATATTGACTATCCTTAATCGCGTCTCTCTTATAAACAAAACCTTCTTAAAGTCCACATGTAAAAAGTATAATATCAATATTTTGTAGTTCGCTGCATCGTAAATTACTTTGTATATAATTTAAATATAATAATAAATTTACTTTTTTTATAAGAATACTCTGTTTTTCTTCTGTTAATACCTGGGAAACGGGACGTCTTGTTTTATGCCGAATACGTTTCAATGTACGGTGATCCTTGTGTGTTGGGTGTTGAGGGATAGTAGCCATTAGACGGTGTTATGTATGGATTGATAGGGAGGTATACAGGATCCATTTGCGTCATCGCGTAATCATTGGGCACCTAACAGAAGGTCAAAGGTTTATAGTTCCATTATATCGAGCGAGATTCTTACACTGCAGGTCTCACCTTAGTATATACAGCTAATTCGAAAAAGGTTGTCCTTTGCAACCCTTAAACTCTAAAGCCCAGGTCACACTACACAACGATAACGATAAGTTGTATACGCGCGCTGACTGGTCAAAAATTTATCGTTATCGTCCGACTGAAAAAAATCGCTCGGGTGAACGATTTTAAAATCGTTCGTCAAACGATAATTTTATCATTTTCGTTGTGGTGTGGACACTAACACAATTTTTTTCCCAATTATCGCGTGTTTACAATTTATATCGTATCGTTATCGTTGTGTGGTGTGACCGGGCCTTAAACCTTAAACTCTAAGCGTGCAAAGCATAATGGGAGCATCATTTAATCAGTTTAGAAATCATATATGGAGACATTTCTTAGAGACATGGTAAATATCTCCTTACAAGAAGAATTCATTCACAAATAGCTGCAATATTCAACTATAAAGCTTGAAATTTGTGCTTCCATTGAGCTTTACGTGCTTAGAGTTTAAGGTTTAAGGTTTGCAACGGACAACCTTTTTTGAATTGGCTTATACATGAACTTGTGGTTAAAGCTCGTGGGTCAAAACTTGTGGATTAAAATAAGACTATATAGACACGAGTTCGAGATATGTCTTCCGATCTTATTTCAAAATCATATCATCAAACTCTGGGTGATCGATCTCAGTTGATCTGATTAGACTCGAAATGAGTGATGAGACTCGAAATGGCTTAATAAAGTTTGTACTTACTTGATAATTTGGGCTGGGAAAGAACACTGCCGAATTATCATAAGCAGCAGGCGATATGACTGGTGGTGTATGTGGCATATTACCCTCCACTGCCACGCTGGGTGTGGGATATGAGAAATTAAACACGTTGTACGACTGTGACGGGTAGCTCATATACCCTGGTGACGTCATATATACCCTGGGTGATAATGTGGGTGACGAAGGTACACTAATCATCGTGAGGGGTGAAGCTGAGGAATGTGGGACATTTGGTGGTGTGGATACTGGGGGGTAAGTGAATGTTGAAGGTACATGTGGGGGTGTACGTGGTGAATAAGGGGTATTTATCCATGTGTTGTGATGTCGGTGACTGGAGATTCCATTCATTAGCATCAATGTCATGTCGGATGATGAGCATTGAAATACCTCTATGTAACGTTCACCAATGTGTTTCTTGTGAAGAGATTCTGAAGCTTTTTGAGCATTATCTGCTGATTTCATTTCAATAAAGGCATCTCCTGTTGGCCTGGCCTAATAAAATTACACACAATTAAAATTCACAATTACACTCGATGTTCTTTTCAGTAAGTTATTATGCAATGTGCGTCATAGTAAAAGAACTTGCATATAAAAAATCACTAAATATCTAAAAAAAAAAGACAAGCTAAGTCGCTAAGATAGCATGGCAAAGTATAAGAAAATTGCTGCAACTTGCAACAAAATCTGATTTCAACGCATGTTAAGTAGAAATGTCGACACATGTTGCCTCGTGATTTGTAATTATGTGTATAAACATTTTCAATTAACATGCGTAGAAATCAGATTTTGTTGCTCGTATTACTCCAGCTTTAACTAGTCATTTTGAATTTTCTTTAATAACAATGCAGTCACAAAAAATATGTGAAATTTCGATTCATGAGCACTTTAAATGACTCCAATGAGTTTTCGTTTCCATTTATCTATCGTAATAACTATTGTTTCAAAAAGCTTTCAGCTCTCCAACACTGTATTCAAGCAACAATTTTCTCACCTGATAATTATAGACCATGTGGACTCCAGCTTGAGAAACATACTTTGCAAACTCGTCCAAGAAATCTAGAATATCTTGTACCGAAGCTGAATAAGGCAGTCCTCGTAACCGAATAATGTTCCTCACGTTTGATAAATATGCATTAGTTTGCATCAAGTTCAGTGGTTCAGGACCGGCCGGTCGCATGCCTCTAAAGGCAGTAAATGAAACTGCACTACTTGGTAGCGCGTGTCTTGTAAATACTTGTATAACTTCGTGTCTGTTCATTTGAAATAGTTCTACATATCGTTTTCCAATAGTTTGCCGATGTTTCGTTAAAGCAAGTTTACCATGTTCCGCATTTTCAAATAAGACAAAAGCGTCGCCAGTTGGTCGTCCATCGGGATGGTAAACGAATAAAATTCCTTGTTGGTCATGAAATACAGGCGACTCTTCACCAAAAAATGTTACCTAAGAGGAATTGCAGTATAAAATGAATATTTGTCACAGAACTTGGCGACGCAATGAAAACAGTGGATAGTTCTCAGAATAACTACGATGGGGATTTTGAGATGCATCTCTGGATTTTCGCTGGACAAGGCAAAGAATAAAGAAATCAAAAGACGTTGAGGAGGTAAACATTGCAGAGAAGATGAGGGGAAAAGTCTGAGATATTTTTTAATTTTAATTTTTAAATTTTTAATTTAACAACTTTTATTTGGCACATAAAAAACTAGACAATATTGTACAAGAAGATGAAGAAAGTGCCAAAAGTTTTCTTGTCCGTTCCAATCCACGGATAATTTTCCTGAGTGGAAATTAGCCTTAAGTCAGGAGTGTAGGAAAATATGGGCACGTAATAATTAGTGGGGGGGGGGGGATGAGGGGGAGCTAGTCAGAAACATCAAGGAATAAAATGATCAGAAGATGTATACCGTAGGGTGGTAGACATTGCAGAGAAGTTGAGAAATGCAAAGCTGAAGTGGTATGGGCACGAAATAAGAAGAGATGAAGGAGAGCCAGTCAGAAACATCATGGAATGAAGAGAACAGAAGATGTGGGGTGGTGGACAATGCGTACAAGATTAGAGAAGTAGGATGGTATGGACATGTAAAAAGAAAAAAATATGCGCCGGTCTGATGTGAACATGCAATAAGCCGATCAGGGACATTATGGAGCTGGGGATAAAGGGATATCAATGAAAAGAAAATGATAATAAGAGATAGAACGTGATGAGGGAGGTGAATCGGAATAGGCAGCTGGAAACTAATTGACTAATTATTGTAGAAGAACACTTGTTTTAGAAAACGTTATTTTTAAAATGTGCTAGAACTCACATGACTTGAAAAATTGCCTCTACTAACAAAACATTACATCTGAGTCACAAGTAATGACTATTTATACTAGAGTCTTTACAGGGTTTGGAAAGCACCTATATCATAAAAAAACAAATAACAAACTTAACTTACAATTTCTGACGGCTTGGTGTTGTATGGCAACCCTCGCATTCTCACAATCACCGAGTCAGTGCCAGCAAGATGTAGAAAATGATGCAGACCTTGAGGTAAACCATGGCCATTTACTTGATCTGAAAACAACATGCACAAACGACGGTTTAGCAAAATTAAGGCTAAAAGGAGTCGGTTGTACGAAGCCGTTTACCTTATCAGATACCTGATTAGCCTAAACATAGCAAAGGTTAATAAAGAAAGCTGGTACTCAGGTTATAAATATATAGACTTGCAGACTTAAAATATCGGTCGGTTACGGACATTGTCCAACCCATTCGTGAAATTGTCCGACGTAATGAGGAAACCACGGAACATTCTGTCCGACTTAAGTGAAACTGAGGTTTATTGTTTGTCCGACCCGAGTGTATTGGTGTCCGATCGAACTGTAGCTTTGTCCGACGTAAATCAAAATGTACCCTAGTCCAGGGCTAGAAGGTTCGTATGTTAAATGGAGAATCAGAGTAACATATATAAAAGGTGAACTGGAAATGTTTTCCGACCTATAAACCTCACAGTCATCGGACATTTTGTCAGACGGGCTCTGCAAAAGATATTTTAAGGCCTGAGACTTGTCACGTGGAAAACATGTTTTCGTCTTCAATAAGAAAAAAGAAATTCAAGTAATACCTTGGTTTATGACTCTTGAATACTCTTGAACCGATGCCTTAGTTATCTAGAAAATTAAATACAGCTATCAGTCAACTGATTGATGTGATATATCGACATCACCGTAGAGGGTGCGACAACAACGACCACGTTAATTTAGACAGCAAGACAAAACGTTCCAACGTTGAAAGCTTAGGCTATGTGCACACGGGCGTCGTTTTGCAGCGTTTTCAAAAACGTTTTTGTCCGTAAAATCGTTTTGACGCCGTATTCGCACGGCCCAAAGGAAAATATCTCCAATATATTAACTAAACTACAACTTCTGTCGTAAATTGATAGTGTTTGCATCCGTTTTAGCGTGAAAACGCAAATGAAAACGCTCGAAAACGTTACCGTGTGCACATAGTCTTAGTCTTAGCTTTGTTTATACTTTGTAATTCTCATTCCGAGTCAAATTCAATATGGCGGATTTGAAAGGGCACGCATGAGAAAAAGTGGAGCGCATTCTATATCTATTATTTCTATGGATTGAAGAAAGGATGGTCTCAAATTTTTCGCGGCATAACCATTAAGATTTTGTACAAAAATACAGAAATTCATTTTTTTCGGAATTTATTGCTGTCTGTGGTTTTTGATGTTGTCGGGTGGCAGATGTGAATCCTGATGCCATGTGGATCGATCTAATATGCATGACTAACAATTACAAAACAGGTACAAACCTCAATGCTCCTTGTGCCAAACTTCATCCCGTTGCGTTTTAAAGCCAGGTCTCTCTGTTCTTTGTTCGTAAATCTAACCAACGCTTCACATGCAAACGGGCGACCGGTTGCTGACATACACAACACAATACCACCACTGAAATGTATAGAAAAAAGAACACTTTAAGGAAAATGTTGAAAATAATTCAGTTTGTATTCTGCGACATATGGTGATCAACATCAAATGTTTGGAAATGAAACTTTAAGGGAAAGCAAATATGCTAACTGCTTCCATAACAAATATTTGCCACCAGACACAAGGTCAATATATATAAGAGGCAGTCTGACTAGATGAGATCTCACTTTGTGCTAGGGAAGATCTCAGTCAATTGGGATAAAATTTTCCGCATCAAGGCTTGAAATTTTTCATCAGAACCACCTGACCAGGATGGGATATTATTGCCGATTTTGACCCATAATAAGTATTGAACGGCATAGTTGGAAAATACAAACAAAAAGTAAACATCAAAAGACCTATAAACAGACACTATTCATTTAAAGTAGTAATACAAGTTGCAGTTCATTGCAACAAAAAATATTTTGAAAACGCCATGTTTACACAATCTCGTCCCACTGAGGTGGGATATTAATGTGGGATAAAAACAATCATGGAACACAAAAATAATTCATCCCATGAATCAGCCCTTAGCGTTGACCACCACGCGCTACAATTCTGTCCCAGTTACCGAAACCCACCTATACATATAAGAAAGTCTTCTGCCACAAACGCTTGAATTAGACTAAAACCATTATATTTAAAAAGTAATGTACATGAAAAGCGATTACTCAAAATGCTTTATGTTGTAATAGTACAATCATGCTGCAATTTGCATGTGTGTTCACAAAAGAATATTTAAAAAATTCGATCATTCAGTGTGATCAGTGAGGGTAATTGCATTAAATGAATGAAATTTGGAAACGCTAAGAAACCACAGACATGCAACGGTGCATAAAATTAATTCAGCCCACCATACAGGGTATCCCGAAAAAAGTATACCTTTAAACTTGAGGTCACAGCCCCCATGTTGGTGTTCCAATCCAAAAGAATTTTAATTAGACTCTTTTGTCTGGAACAACAACATGGCCGCCATGGCTTTTCTTAAGTTGGTCCCTGGGGAATGAGTGCAAACGCTCTATAGGATTCCGATGAAAGAAAGAAACCTTGCTCGAAAAGCGGTTTGCACTGCGGCTATAACACGCTAAAGACTCTTCACTCCGTGGTCAGTTGAACTATTTTTTGTGACTGATTAGTAACTTGACAATTTTTGTGTAGTCACTCTCCTTTTATAACATTAGAAGATCTTTTAATTAAATTCCCAGGAGTAGAAAATCTTGTACTTAACAAGAATAGAGTTGTTTTTTAAGGTCTCGTTTTCAATACACCCTGTATTTGACGCTTCCGTGCAGGGTTCAGCTTAATGCTCAGGCATTCAAATGATTACAAAAGGAAAATTTCAAAAGGTGTACTTTTTTGGGACACCCTGTATATCAAAGACGAAAATTAATGTAACCAGGAATCTGGTTACTATTAATTTGACCATACTTAGGCCATGTTTACATTGTTACCGGAATCGTCCCAATAGCTGAATTCATACTAGAAGACGGATTTCCGTTTGGGACGGGAAACTCGTCTAAGACGACCGGTTTGCCGTTTCAACTTTTCCGCGTCTAACTTTCCCGTCTGAACGGTGGGGAAGTTAGATGAGTTTCTGTTTTGGACAGGAAACTCGTCTTAAATGTATAGCAGATGAATAAATCAAGACGGGTTTCTGCTCGTAACGGTGAAAGGAGACTGGGATGGAGGCTCTTCTATTGTTTTCGTGTTTATCCGTTCGATGGTTTTCGTTCATATTCATACCAGACGAAAATGATACTTCACACGAGAGTTTCCCGTCTTAGACGAAAATCCGTCTTCTAATATAAATTCAGCTAATTTCTGCAACGAACCGATTTTTGCTGCGATTTTAGTTGCGATTTTCTCCTTTTGGAGGATCTGAAGGAGTAGATTACTTATGAGATTTCATAACCTGGAACATTTACAATTCATCCACTCCTTCACATCCTCCAAAAGGACCTCTCTTATGAAGACGCTATTAAAACCTCGAAGTTGGCCGTCCATTGTTTGATCGTAGAACAGCTGCCTGCCTCAAATTCTTTGAAGAAGCCCAAAACAAAGATCATACTAATTACATTCATTTCTTCCTGAGGAAAAAGTTTGTTTGCATTCCTTAAGACGATGTAGTAATTTCTCTATACCTCGAATTCGAACTGATCGGTATAAGAACTCATTCATAATAGTCTTCAACAGTAATCTAATTATTTTTAATTGTGATGTATAATCACATATCTAATTTAATTTTATTAACTAACGAACGCGAGGTCTGTACAGAGAAATATCGGACCGAGGTCTTTTTAATGTCTTATTAATAACAAATTAAATTATAATTTTCAAATTTTCAATTAGTTTTGTTGTTTTGTTTTAAAATACGTGCATTTGTTTCTACGTAATGGACCTCTGGTCCATAACAGGAAAATCATTATTTTCCGCTGAAAGTGCTTTCTCAGTCAATCACAGTCCACCATTTGACCGGAAGTGATGCTTGCCATATAGCAGAAGTGAAAGAAGTGATGCTTGCCATATTTGACAGGAAGTGATGCTTGCCAATACCTGTTATGTACATATTATTAGGTTATTCATTACTGTACATTGTATATGATTCAGTTGTTTTTATTGTAACTGCAAATTACGATTTTAAAAATCAATCAATCAATAAATTACTATCGCAGCAAAAATCGCCCGTGTAAATGAGCCTTTGGAGTGTCACACCAGGAATTCGCGGGCTCAAACTCCTGCTGGCGGCCATTTTTAGATGATCTGGAAAGTGTTTAAAATCCGTCATATATTTAAACCATCCTTTTATAATCCTTCCTCTTTTTGTCTGATTCTTACTCAGAAATATACCAAACAAGGTATTTTTTAATATCGCTATTTGTTGTATTTGAGTAAAATGTAAACAATAACAAAAGCCCGCAATGCATGACCCTGACACTAACCTTTAATAACTGAAGTACCGGAAGAGAGCTGTGGAGCGTAGCACCCGGAAGAAAGCTGCGGTGTTTCGTAGAGTGAAACTGCAAGCAATGTTCTCACATGCGACTATGAGGAAATTGTATAAACAGCCAACTGCATATAATACAAAAATTGAACATTTTATACCAAATATATAGCCTATATAAATATATGTAATTTCTAATCTATGTTCACTGTTATTTGTAACTACGTTAATCTTTGTATGGTAGTATAGAAAACCAAATACTTTTTTATTTTTTAGGGTTTAGATAATTAGCGATTAAGGGTTTTAGGTACTTTTGGGTTTATTTTTAAAAAATTCTTTGTATTACTTTAGCAACACCTGTAATTTTAGGTCGTGCGAATAAAGCAATTACTACCAAAAATATCAAACAACCCCGATCAGCTTTAAGCAGACAGAGAAATCCTATGTTTCATGCATGAATTCAAGTAAAACGGCCTATATAATGTAGTATGAAAACTTCGGAGATGCCACTATATGTCCCGACGAAGGGCTTTCGCTCGACACGTCCAAGTTCTCCTTGTATTTTTCAGCGGTAGTTGCATCCCACCAATTCGTGATGTCGGAATGCTCAATAGCATGATATATTATACTGGTGGGTTATCAGTCTCAAAGTGTTCAATGCCGCTGAAGTCTGCCGCACACGAGAGCTCTCGGCTGAGCTAAAGTAGTAAGTAGTTGTAGTAGCAGTTGTAGTTGTAGTAGCAGTAGTAGTAGCAGTAGTATAGTTGTAGTAGCAGTGGTAGTTGTAGTAGCAGTAGTTGTAGTAGCAGTAGTTGTAGTAGTAGCAGTAGTTGTTGTTGTAGTGGTAGCAGTAGTTGTTGTTGTAGTGGTAGCAGTAGTTGTTGTTGTAGTAGTAGCAGTAGTTGTTGCAGTAGTTGTTGCAGTAGTAGCAGTTGTAATAGTATAGTAGATTTTTTTACCACTTTTGTATAACAGATTAAAAAATATTAAAAATTTACAACAAATTTAGAGAATATAAACTTATATTAGCTATAATTCTGTTTATGACTATTTAACTAAATAAGAAGAATTATTGCCTACGTATTCAAGTACGACTATTTTGTATTACTATATATGTTCGTTAAAATAGCTCAGCCAAGCTGCTCTTGGTATAAATGATTTAGCAAGTCATCCTCAAATAGCAATGACGATAGGTCTTTGTCTCACTATATACATTCCGCGGAATCCGAGGTAAAATTCTTAGCAAAATTCATGCAGGCCACACGAGAAATTGTTGCTGAGCAAACGGCCACCAGCCAAGAGCTCTCATGTGCGGCTTTAATTATAAGCTACTATACCAATCTGAAGGTCGTCTTGTACATGAAAGGGCGCGTTTAGAAGGCGGAATTATTTTTATGCATTTACAGTACAATAAGAAATTTAGACTCCGTTGCGCACAATGATCAAGTAACTAGTTACCAGACGAAAAGCAAGGACGATTAAAGGAATTGGAATATAGATTAACAAAATAATCACGCCTGTTTACATTTTCTCTCATATTCAAGTTATACTATATATTGCATACCAAGAAAACGATAAGTACACTGCATGGATTTTGCTGAATCACAAGCCGTAACTAATTGTAAACATCCAAATGATTCCCTGCCGGCAAACCGTACACCATGTATGCATAGCTATACTTGTTCAAGATACGCATGCATGTAAGGTATAGAGCCAACATGGCTAGCCAAATTACAGATTATATATTGTCCGCACACAAGTGAATGAAGCACAGAAATCATTGCATTGTATTCATTCAAAGCAAGATAAGGGACAACTGAACCATTAAACGCGATATTAAACGTCGTATACTTACAAAATATGCATGGATTTCCTCCTAGTTATAGGCGTATAGGTCTTCCGAATTTGGCAACCTTCGTCAAACGAATGCAGCCCGAAATAAAATGCTCTTGGAACTGTCACATCAAACACGCATTGCACGAACAGTCAATATAAAGCGAAACTTAGCCTAATACGTAATTAAAATATCATTAGCCAGCCTGCCTGCCAACGAATATTGTTTTCGCCGAGATTGAGCTGTAATTATGAACATGATATTTCGGCTGCAGACTTTGCCTGAGAAAACAAGGAACGTCATTGAGCCATGATATGCCGTATTTATACAAAACACTATTTGCAGCAAAACAAGCTGAACATTTTTGTCTGGATAATATCACGTTTACTGTTCAGAATTTTCCGCAAAGTTGTTTGTTCTTTATATTGCAGTATTGGCATTATCGCTTTTGTTTGAAATTCATCAGTCACAGAGAGCCTATTTTTGGCTTGCGTCTCAATTTACCAACGAAAATAGAATCCCGGCGCCTGAAAAATTCAACATAAAAATTCGACACGCGAAATAATTAAGATCAGTTGCGGCTTACGTTATCAAAATCCAGTACTTTTAGGGACCATGAATTGTTTCAAATGTTATCAGCAATTGACTTACTGTAAATTGTTGTGTCTATTTTATAAACTTGGCAAGAATACAGGTCATGGCCAAGGGCATTTACAGTATTATTAAACAGACGTATCAACATGGTACGAAATAACTGCCTGTCCAGGTGATTTTCACCAACGACAGGAGATAGACTACCGCAGGTTGAGAATTCGAGAAAGCGCATGAGAGTGTACAATACTCGATAGGAGAGATTATACAATATGAAATAACAAGTTTTTTAAGAATAAACAAACAGTTTTCAAATACTTGTTCTAAACTTTATCACACTTTCAAGACTACCTTGGGAATGGCGTGCGATTGCACACGCATCATGCTTGGAAGTGCGATTTATCTCAGAGCGCTAAAAGCCGCCGGGATCTTTTCAAGCAGGATTTAAAATAAATATTTTGAATTTCGATATATTTGTAGGCTGTTTGGTGCGTGTACCTTTTTTGCCGGTGATATTTTTCAGGCTCTGATCTAAAGGCGAACATGAGATGATTACGGGCAAAATGGGCATGCAGCAAAAATCGTATGATGAAAATCAATGCCCATGCAGCCTAATGCCGGTAATTAAGTAAGCCATCACAAAATTAAAGTTTAAAATATTTACTCTATAAGAACTAACGTTTCGTCCATGACTTTTTATATGCATCATGTTGGGCAATAATTTTAATGATACAGACCATACAGTTATGATTCCCGTCCATACAGTTATGATTCCCGTCTTGTTCATGGCTACCAGAAATTCATGGCTATCAGAAATTCATGGCTACCAGAAATTCATGGCTACCAGAAATTCATAGCTACTAGAATGCGTATACGATTTCTTTAAGGCAAGACAGCATCTTTTTAATTTAAAACCTGTGAATTCATTGTATTCCCGTCCATACAGTTATGATTCCCGTCTTGTTCATGGCTACCAGAAATTCATGGCTATCAGAAATTCATGGCTATCAGAAATTCATGGCTACCAGAAATTCATGGCTACCAGAAATTCATAGCTACTAGAATGCGTATACGATCTCTTTAAGGCAAGACAGCATCTTTTTAATTTAAAACCTGTGAATTCATTGTATGGATGAATGGATTAAGAAGGTCGCCGCCAGCTAGTGTTGTGAAAATACCCGTGACAGCTTTTTTAATTTTACAAGCTTTACAATTAAATAACAATAATTTTATATACAAGAATGCATAAAAATAACACGAAATCACAACAGCTTCAGGCCGATTGCTGTGATCAAGCCTTCCTAGATTTGGCCGTTGACTGGTATTAGCATTATTATTATTAGCATAATATACTCGGGCATAGTCATTAAGCCATGCATGATGGTCTTGAATCCCGGGAAACTAGCCAAACTTCAGAGCCACAAAATAGAAGACCTTTGTTTGATGTCGAGTTTTACCTCACCGTGCACAAATCCTTTGTCTCAACTTCAGGAAATGTTATTTAAAAACTCATTAATAATTCATGAGGAAAAGACCAAGGAAATCACTAGCGTGTCGATAGTTTTCGGTGTGATAAAAAATCATGTTCATTTATATAAACTTTAAAGGGAAATGGCAATACATTTTTTTATTTTCTCGTTTGAAAGAACATTTAAAACCATATAGAAAACTCTTTTACCGTTTTTTCATATCTTGCTTACTTCTACAAATATTTTAATCGAAAGAAATGAAATGTCCGCCATCTTGGCTTTTTGTAGATATGCATGTTACGTCACAACAGGGGTCACGCAATATTTTTATCTAGACAACCACTAAGCATTTTGCACTCAAAATTATACTCTGTATGCGCTTGGAAATATCAAGATCACTTGAAACCTTTAAAACGTCTACCAATCAATATTTGGTCAGCAACGAATACTTTTATATGATTAATCCCTGTTGTGACGTCACCAAAACTACCGTTAATGAGATAAAAAAATTATCCAAGATGGCTGACATCTCATTACTTCAAGTGAAAATATTTCAAAAACTAAGCGGGATATGAAGAATCGGTAAAAGAAGTTTTAATTGTTCTTTCAAATGGAAAAATAAAAAAATATATTGCCATTTCCCTTTAACTTTGATTTTCTCGGCTTAGATATGTTTATTTTTAAAATTACTTGGCCATTATGAACTCATCAGATGGGCCGTTTCCTACTATGAACTCATCAGATGGGTCGTTTTTTATAAAACACTCCTGTTCGTTTTATAAATAGTACTTCATCGTGGCTGCATGCACGTTTCATCTCAGCTGTCCCTATTGGACGGTTGCTTAATTACTTAAACGAAAATACAATGATTATGTATAATTAAGCAACCGTCCAATAGGGACTGTAACCGTACACAAATTAACATAAACTCAGACAAAAACATATAACAAACATTTCTTAGTTTCCAGACCACCTCCCGAGTCATAGTCTATCAAGATGCGATGGATAGTGCTTTTCAATGAACTCCAAATATCCTTGCACCATTCACCCCCAGATAAAAACAAAATGGTTTCACGAGAAAATGTTTCAGCGTACTAAACGAAACTGCGACTTCGCCTTAAGCCCGGCGCACACTACAGCTATGTGCTTAGCAAAATGTCATTCGTGATTGCGTAAGGAGAAAACTGTTAACTCTAGTATGCGGTGCACTTTTGTAAGTTTTTCGTCACTCGTGACGCTAAAGGCTAGTTTACACGGGCGATTTTTGCTGCGATTTTCTCCTTTTGGAGGATGTGAAGGAGTAGATTACTTAATGATGTTGTTATGAGATTCAATAACCTAGAACATTCATAACTCATCCTCTTCTTCGCATCCACCAAAAGGAGAAAATCGCACCTAAAATCGCAGCAAAAATCGCCCGTGTAAACGAGCCTTGTATTATGATCTACATGCAAGCGTACTATTAATGCTACTCCGGAGTACTTAAACTATTACATTTAAATAGCCAACAACATTCGAGGAACACTCGCAGTGCTGATCTAAGTTTAGTAACTCCGAAATACAATAGAGCTACAGAAGCAGGAAGAACTTTTTCTATAACCGCTATAGGCCTCTGGAACAAATTACCTTTAAGTTTCCGTTCTGCTAGCTCCATTAACTGTTTTAAATACTTATTATATAATTGCTTCCGTACGCACCAGAGTGAACCTAAACAATTTACATCTTTTCCTGATTTCAAATTTAAGTAATATATAATTGTAATTTAGCTAATGTTCTCTTTTATATAAACGTAATGTCATATATAGCTCATGTAATTTAACCTTTTTAATTAAGTAAACTTATATATATATATATATATATTTAGTCATCTTTAATAAATTCTTCGATACGTAGCCATCTCTTTGTCGTAATATATATATATATATATATTATATATATATATATATATAAATGTTGTAAATAGACAATAGGTATACTCCCTAATTTTTGTAAATTTTATGAAGGCCACAAGTTCATTAGTACTTCGTACTATAAAGTGTCACCCTCTTTAAATAAAGTCTCTATCTATCTATCTTAAGACAAATATCCAACGTGTCGAATATTTTTTGTCACGAATGAACATTTCCTCCACGTGTGCGCGCTCGAAAAGTTATCACCTTTCATTGTAGATCGAATAGGCGTGCGTTAATAAAACATAATACAAAAGGAAAATAATTAATGAAGAATGTGATCTTGAGTAGCGACATATGAATATTCCTCATAATTATTTTCCTTTTGTCTTATGTTTTATTAACGCACGCCTATTCGATCTACAATGAAAGGTGATAGCTTTTCGAGCGCGCACACGTGGAGGAAATGTTCATTCGTGATAAAAAATATTCAACACGTTGGATATTTGTCTTACGCGTCACGAGTGACGAAAAACTTACAAAAGTGCACCGCACACGAGAGCTTTCTCCTTACGCAATTGGTCACGAATTACATTTTGCTAAGCACATAGCTCTAGTGTGCGCCGGGCTAACACGAAGAAAGCCACAAAGATTTGTTTAACAGTGTGTAAAGGTATTCTTTAAAGCTATTTCTAATGAATGGAATTACTAAAAGCGTGTAACAACGAAAATGTTTTTCAAACAATCAAAACAAAGGAACTCTTTTTTAAAAAAACAAAGAAAATATTTTTAAAACAATTTGTATTTCAGCTCCCGTAATAGTTGTAAAAGCTTTGCGGGATTTAAAAAAAATATTTTCGTTGTTTTTTTTGGTCATTGAGGAAGATCTGATTGGCTTTTATAGGAACATTGCTAATTCCCTCAAGGGGTTTGCAAGGAAGTTTTTTTCATATTTGCAAAGGTAATGCGAAAAATTGCAATCAAGTTGGGGACTCAAAAGAGGAATGCCTGACGTTGTTTACATGTAATTGTGGGAACCATATCTGTAGTTTCATGCAGCATTTTCACAATGATGAGAAAAAATCACCATCTACAACCGAACCCTGTAGGTTAATAATATTTTAATGGTTTTGTTTGTGGAAACACCACGTAAATAGATTTACGTGGTGTTTCCACAAACAAAACCATTATATTTTATCGCCATGCAAACATACAAAGAACTTAATCATATTTTATATTTTGTGAGCTCAAAACTTGTTTTCACTTGTCATGATAATTTCATTCAAATAAAGGTCAGGGTTAATTTAAATGTACTTAGAAAGGATTGTATAGAATAATAAGAAAAACAAACAACGAAAAAATGACATCTATATTTGGCTAGACACAACTCATGTGTTAAACAAATTATTAACTAGGAAAAAATAGCTTAAAAATAAAAAAATTAGCTTAACTGAAATGAACAGCTTTGAAGCATCAAAATATGGCGGACACAAGTCAAAGTTCAACTGTACTTTTTAATAGACAAAAAAGACCATTTACTGTTACTACTGATAATCTGTGTCGGAAAATGAGAACAAAAAGAACCAAATGCTCTAAAAATGTTTTTTGGCTATCGAACAACGTTTTCCCAGTACTTTTATCTGAATAACACTTGCCAGAACGAAATAAAAGCTGTCTTATTATCGACAGTTTGTGTCTTAAAATGAGGATAAAGAGCGCCAATTCTTTTAAAAATGAATTTTTAACCTTTTTCTAACCGTTTTCCCTATACTTTTACCTGAAAATGTAAGCAATGACACTTGCCAGAACGCTCTGCGTGGCGCGAGAAAATGACTTTCACATCTGTATGTATTATTTAATCTGTGCTCAAGTGTAAGAAATCTTGCATTAGTTTCTAATGCGCGCGCACGCATGTGAATTGACAGCGCTATTTCAACGCTGGGACGGAGTATTTGTGTTGACTGAAATAAATATTTAATGAGTGTTTAATTATTGAATATGAGACTTGAGTATTTGTTGGGTAACGCATTTGATTTCTGGTAAGCAAATGTTCTCTCCAAAAATTCACAAAATCATGGAAATTTTCAAGTATTTCCACAACAATGTTGTCCAGTTTGCCCACGGCTACATTTAGTTCCCTTTTTTGTTCTTCCAGTAAAAATAATATAAGGAATAATATAGATGCAATGTAACACTGACCTTTCAATATTGAGACCTGTAAAGAATCTTGCCAATTTAAACTCGGTGGTATTTGGAGTTAAACCTTGAACGCGGACTATAGTGTCTTCTTGTAACGGTGTCGTGCTAAAAAGAGAGTATCATGCAGAGTATTACAAATTACATTAGATTATTATTCGGCTTTTCATTGACCGATTACATCAAGTATTACGCTTACTTATAATATTAGCTACCTACTTAGTCCAGACTATTTTATCTTTAGAACAACAGGCACATTTGGCTGACGTTTGTTTATACCCAATTCACATCTTTAGATAATTCACATGCCTAGTTGGTATTGTACTTGATTACAGAAGCAAAGGATAGAACAATATAATTATCTACAATTATATATAATTGTAATACGCATTATAATGAGCTACATGAGTGAGTAACTCTTATACGATACGAGCAATGCTTAGTTACCTAGTTCTATTCAACGCTTCTGTAAACTAGATCTTATACGATATGAGCAATGCTTAGTTACCTAGTTCTATTCAACGCTTCTGTAAACTAGAACAATCGTAACTAGGCATGCGAGTTTTTTAAAGTTGTGAATTTGGTACCGGCAACGATGTAAACAACATCAGCCAAATTTGTCTATTGTGATATTAGCGCCAAGAGAAAACCAATGACTTTCGGCAGAACGTCAGTGACAGACTCTTTTCACACCGTAGCGAGAATCGTCTGACGACTGCGCGCCACCGTAGCCCCCTTTGGTTTTCTTGATCTACCCAAAAGGTTTAAAAACTCTTCTTCCCTTAAAGGCCCTTTCTTTACTAACCACATGAAGAAGGGCCTGTAAACGGGCATTAACACAGTGATGATGTCTTACCTTGGAAAATGAGAATATTGTGATTGAATCACTTGCATTGTGCCTGAAAAGGAGAACACGAGGCTTCATCGATAATGCGTGCATGGCAAACACCCACTCAAAGAAATGTTGATTCTGACATATGTAAACTTGTATTCAATTTTTATATCATTCAAATGAGAAAGTAAATGATTTATTGTGTTTCATGCATTCAAGTCACAATGAATTGAATGTTAAAATTTAAAAACACATAAAATGCGTCAACGTACCATCTGGTGGCATTTGTTGCATGACGTCCAGTAGAACACGACAGAACTGTAGGCCTTGCGACTTCTCTGAACCAAGCTCAATTCCTAGATCTAACCAGCAGTTAAGGCGTCAAATTCTATACAGCAATAGACGTATGACAAGCCTTAAGAGATTCTGTCAGTAAGGTAGACAAGCCCATGCAAGTCTGAAAATTATAATTGCTCATACAATGAGAACAATAAAATAGACACTTCAAACTTGACATAAACACAGTGAAATGCCTATTGGCTACAAACAATAGAAAATACTTTGCACATTTTGCAAGTAAAACTAACTACTTTCAGTTTTTATCACAGATTTCGAAACTGACTGAATTTGTTGGCTATATTGCCTGACTAATCAGTGCACGAAAAGCCATGATTTTTCGGCAAAGTTGATACATCAAATAAGCTCAATATCTTGTTTTCAAGACAAATTATGGGACACAGCAGGAGACAATATACGAGCCCGAGTACTAAAACCTTTCATTAATAAAAGGTTTCGAAATTTTAAATTTGATCTGTTCACGATTCGAACAACAAATTCAAAACCTATAGGTATCCTATATATAGCCTGCGTAGCAGGCACTATTCCTAAATAGCGCCTGCTACGCAGGCTATAACTATCCTTCCCGAGTATTTTTAGGCAAGCACGACTGTAAGGTTTATCGTCCACTGATGTAAAACGTTTTTGTCAAGCCCCAGTCAAATGTGGCCAAGGCTTGATTGATTCAAATTCCTTTATCATGAGTTCCACCAACACCAAATAAGATATTTGGTAGGAGTAAAATTTGGATCATTCTGAGAAATGTAATGTGACCTTGATTAACTTTTTCACTATCAAAATTACCGGATATATGATGTCATACACGAGATTAATTTCGGCAGCAAAGGAAACGATTCGTAATTGTGTTGATTTTGCTCACGATTTGCTAGTTATGTTATGCGAGACTAGATGAGAAAGACTATGATATATACATTAGTTCATTGCATTATATAGTAGTGATTTTTTGATAGTATAATCGAAGCTTGATAAGTGTTAATCCTGGGTTAAATCCCACTATTTTGGTTTGTGCATTCACTTTAAAACGTCAGAAAATAAAACTTGTTGATCCAAAAATATTTTCAAGTTAACGAGCTATCTGGAAATTTGCTTAGAAATTTTCTACTAATCTACTACGCTAACCGGATTTCAAACAACCAGACTTTTAATCGTTCATAAGACAGACATGCTGTCGAAACAAGCCCTATATATAAATAGGTATTTTATCAACAATAAAATAATTCACTATAACAGTAATTTCAGTTAAAACTGTTAATTACGCTTTTACTGAAAGGATACGAGATGCGACTTCATCCACATTTTTTAATTCATCGTCTGCTTGTTGAGGATATTTGCGCTTGAAATCTAACTCGACGTCAACATATGAATACAGTGCGTCTTGAATATTCACTTTCTCTTTTTGTGCGTATGGATGGATATATTCTCGCAAAGCTATTGGTCCATAGGTTACAACAATGGCTGGATTCTTGCCAACATCAACTTCCACCTAAAATCAAAAGAATTAATGCTGACAAGGTCATCCATGTAAAACGTCTTTGTCGAAATATTTTTTCAAATTAAAAGACAAATTTGCATAAACAACGCAAAATGGCAGTCGCAGAATATTATATCGTGATCAGCGAACATGGTCACTAAAGGAGCATCATAAACGCGTTGGGCCACGAATTAGTGAAATAGTGCGCGTACAGGACCAGGAAACTCTTCTTATATAATATACGACTTCCTGCTAGTGTTTGCGTTAATTAATGAGTTTAGGGAGGGGTTGATTTTTCGCTGACCCTATATAGCCTCTTAAAATCGCTAGTGTTAGATAATGATGGCTGAACTATCAAGCAGTCAAGGTTAGGCTGTATATTTATTTATGTAGGAGTATACCACGATCACGTCATTCAACTGAGCTGATAAAAAATTGGCACACGAAGCGCCCTTCAAGGTGGGCCCACAGACAAAATCAAAAATATCCCTAATCCAAAACAATCACGATAAATTTTAGCAATATTTTATTTCTGTAACTTATTCATTTTATATAGGTTAGGTTTTCACTTTAAACAATTTGACTCCCTAAACAAATTGCAGCTTTCAAAATTAAAACAAAAACAAGAGATCTATATAATATACAATGCCAAATAATGTAGCCTTCACTATAAATCTCTAGGTTAAGTCATTCGTGTAAATGTAATTTGGTTCAAGTTCTAAACAATCAGTTTATGGCTAGTTTATGTTATAAAAGTTTTTGTGATCTCAGGACTAGCAGGATTCCAATATTTCCAGCCTTGTCGGAAGGATTAAATGCAACATGGGTGGTTTGCAACCAACCCCTGGGTTTCAAAAGAAAAACAAATTTGCGTCATGTTAATGAAGTTTGCAATGTAAATTTGCAAAATCTGTAAAATTTATCCAACATGGCGGCGATGACGCAAAGTGAAAACCGGCGACCTATGCTAATTTCTACTAGCTCTTCTCACGGTTGACCTTCGGTGGAAACATCTACTTATACTTTTCAGACTGAGGAATGTAAACATGTTTCCTATACAGGGTGTGCAAAACGCAATAGCTATGTTTCATACTTTTACACAGTTAATTATAGCGGGCACCAATGAATTTAATCTAAGACCAAGAGATGGTTTTTGATTGAAGATTATTAAAACTGGTCAAGTAGAAATAAAGTCTGGTATAGTCTAGTTCACCCAATCGACCACTGAAATCATGCACCAGCTGTTTTTAAGTATTAATTGGTTTTATGACAAATCACTTTAAACAGCCATAACTTTAGTTCTACTAGACCAACTTTAATAATCTCAGTGTCAAAATCCATCTCTTAGATTAACATTTCGGTGCCTAATAACAATTAGCTGTGTAAAAATCAGGAAAATACCGATTGCATTTTTTTCGGAACCCTTTGTATACTTAAAGGGGGGTCGACACGTCATGCAGTCCAAGTTCAAAGATTTGCTGTGAACACAGTTGGTCTATAAGACTACAGTCGGGTTTATAAAACTACACAGAGTTTTATACTACAGTCGTTCTTAAAAGTACAGCTTGCTCGCAGACTATAATTTCAACTTTTGAGGCAAAGACATTATAGAGCCTAGGCTGCTTATTGGCTGAGTGAACAAATGAAAACATATATGGACCGCTGTCAATGATTGAAGAGGCTTGTTTACACATCTCACTTTCCGTCTGACTGCACACCTTCGCTTCAAAATTTTCCCGTCAAAGTTTGATAGTTGCACGAGATGGCGCTCTTTTGGTGAAATAAGCGAGCTTTCTAGACCATAGTTAATAAAACGGTCATACGTAATGAGTACATGACACAATTGAAAAATATATTGTACCAAATTACACGAATTCGTCTTCGTCTTCGCTAAGCCGGCTTAGGCCGCGCTGTGAACATTGAATTCATGAATCGACTAGAATGAATTGCTTTAGCCTGTTTACGTATATGGTTTGAAGTTCCGGTTAAGATTGTTTAATAATATTTCAGCGCAATATAGAACTCGATCATACACATGCAGTCAAAGACGTGCATCTATAACTTGCGCCTGAATCATGAACACGTAGCCGTATGAACAACGGCAAAGCAATTTAGGCCGAGGGCAAAGTACATATCAACAGGCCCATGCAGTTAAAAATCACGAGCACGCTTAAACATAATTAAATACACGTTTATTTGCACAGCAACCTGAATTATTTGTCCTTGGGCAAGTGCGTTGATGAGCCGTGAGAATTGCAACCATAGCGACCATGATGGAAATATATTTTGATCGAAACTTGTGTCGAAATACAGCTAGAATCTGCTCGAAATTGCAACCAATTGCACATAAAAAGCATTCAATGTTGGTGTAATTGATGTTCATAATCAATACATGGCATATACAATGACAATGTTATGGCAAAAGAACATACTCTATAGAACGTAGACATTAATATTCCGGAGACGATAAAAACCTTCTGAGACTAATATCACCGATTTTTATATATTACGGCGAGAATACCATGCATACAATTTATTTCTCAAGATATGAAATTTACATCTCGAAGGAAATTGAGAAGTTGACCCTATATGATTAACAAGCTTTCATTGGCAGGGATGCAATTACCTGAAAAATATAAGGATCGACCTTCGCTCGAAGCGTCGAAATTCTCCTTATATTTTTCTGGTGGTTGCATCCCAAAAGCTTGTTAATATTATTGGCACTACCTACACTGGCACACAGACAGTTCAAGATTAACCCTATATTAACAATTCCTTGAAGGCCTACTCGCAAGACTATACTTGAAAGACTATAGTGTCGCCAACGCAAAAAATATTGTCGTATTAACATATCCTTGCAACGAAGAATGATTTGCATACAGCATATGAAGAAGAAAAGATAATCTCCTTCATAAATCCCAGACTGTTTCAAATCGATGACCTGCACGACTCGGTAGTCGATCACCACGGACGGTTGCGACAAACCAGTAAAATACTTAATAGCTTATTATGGCTTGCCCAAAACGAATTTACAGTTTTAACCATAAAAATATTACAAAGTATAATCATCAATAATTACTTACGATCAAACTCGGAACGTGTGCAGACAACACCGAAATACGCAGAATTTATATTCCGTCTAGTATGTCAGTTTTACAGTATTTGTGTGACGAGGCCAGCTATTGCTATGCCTATAGCGTTGCCGAGAATAGCATTTCAAATTTGAAACCATCGGTTCGACCTCTCTTTGGCAAACTCACAGGAATACTACATCGAAGCTAGCCACATATACACGAAACACATCAGCGACCATAGACAATAGCATCGATAATAACAAGAAGCTCTAAATATAACCACGAAAACGTCGAGAGCAGGAAATAATCTCACACGTACCAGGAGGCATTACGTCACAATTACGCAAGAGCGACCTTGATAGACAAGTTCAAACACGAATTCAAGAAAGAGCTCTGACGAAACGTCTCACTAATGTTCTGTTACTTTGAAGCAAAGAAAGAGTTCGATAGCTTAGCAGGATGCGAGTTAAGATTTTTTTCTGGCCTACAATTATTTTCAAAAGTTGTAGGCCATGCTAGTTTTGACCGATGTTTTGACCTACTTTTTTCTAAATAATAATATCCATTGTACTGTATGATGATGTAACATATGTCATGTGAAAAGTCATCTTTCACTGTTCGCGCTTGTTTCGCTGCCAAGAAACCCAGCCACCCAGCCATTTGGCAAGAGGTTTAAATGACAGAAAAGTTGGCCTACCAAGTTTTTTCGAGACGTAATAGACAAATTTGGCACCCAATTCAAAACTTTAGATAATTCACATGCCCAGTTACTGTTGTTCTACTGCCAGTTTACAGAGCAGAGGCATAGAATAGAACAAAAGTAACCGATAGGAGTTATTCACTCATGTAGATAATTCTAGAGCTTAGTTACCTTTGTTTTCTTCTACTAAGTTCTAAAGTTGTGAATTGGGTATAAACAAACGTAGGCCATTAAGCTGAAATTTACATCGACATCGTTGTAAAAATCTTGAAATAGAGCGGTATAAAATTATAAATTTCGCCGGCACAGAACCCAGGATATATAGTTGTTTATATTTTTAGCACGCATAGCATTGGGCCGCCCGCGCCTGCTCTCGGGGTTACCAAAAAATTGAGCCCACGTTATTAGAAAAAAGCGGTTTATTTACACTGTGCTTGATGTAATTTTTCATTCCGCATGCCATACTGCAGAGTCATTCCGCCTTTTGTAGTCACCGCACTATAGCTACGCAGGCTAAATCAGCTAAATGTGCATTTGTTTACCACAACTAGCCAACTACTAACTTCCCGACGAAGGGCCTTACGCGTTCGCTCGAGACGTCGAAGTTTTGCTAAACTTTTCAGGTAGTTGTATTATTCTTCACACCACAGCTGACTGTTTATGAATTATGTATAATATGGATAGCTTAGACTCCTTAGTCACGTTCCAACTGTTTGTCAAAACGACATTTTTTCTTCGAAAACGTTAAACCACAACGCATATTGCCGGATGTGACACATTACCTAGTCTTCCTGCTGTTTTCCTTGTATTCTAAAATCAAAATGATACATTTCGTGTAGGACTGCTTCGACTTCTGCCATCGAGTGCTACAAAACCAATGGTCTGGCGTGGTTTGTGACAGAACCGACGCCAACAAAGATCGCACTATTCTAGCTAGTTCATCTAGATAGAACGTAGTTCTGTTTCCATAAAAACAGATAATCGATCTCTCAGAACGATTTTCAACTTTTGACTCTAGTTTACACTATACTATAGACGTTTCGAATCCAAGCTGAGCGGGAACATTTCTCAGGGGTCACGGGGGTAACACAGATGCATGTAAACTATGCAGGTTTTTGATGTCTTTGATGCGACCGTCAGCATACCAATTTTTAAGACTATAAAGTAACAATTATGCAAAGTTTGCAAACGTTTGATTCGTGACCAAAGAACCGCTTTAAATTAAATCAATATAATGTCTCTAGAACATTCTCTCGAATCAACTCGAATGTACTGTAACAAAATGGAATAACAAATAATATGATGCACCCAGCAACCGTTTATAAATACCGAATTGTGAATATCTCATCAGTGCAACGCAAGTTACAAATACAAAATACGAAATATCAGACTGAACTATGCAATACAAAATCTTCAAAACAAACGTAACCCAACGAATTTACCATAATTTATATCTTACACTTTATAACCTGACCAACAATAATATACAGTGACGATTGAAGTGAAGACAATGTCTACATTAATCTGGAGTCGTATATGTACCATACGCGTCGCTAGTTTGCAACATTTTAGTTTTACTTTTATTTGTCATAATCATGAGGACAAGTCCGCATATCGCTACTGCAAGACAATGCATACTACAGAATTATTCGACATATACGAACAGATGCTGTCCATAATATATGAACTTCTACAGTATATAACCTAGAGCCAGGCATAAGTGCCTATTAAAGCTACTGCGTGTATTAATATTGTTTATATATACGAAATCAAGACAATATTTATAAAGTCAGCAATTTCCTTTAACCATATGTGCCAAAATTGAAGAAAGCTTACTAAATATGATTCAAAAACATATTCAACACTTACAATTTTTATCCTACATTGAGAAGTGGCCTTTATCCACCGACTATAAATCACCGATACTCGCCCAATACAGTAAGCAGTACAAAACAATAACAATATAATCCAATAAGGCTGAGCTTGCAAATTATTTAATATATTCAGTACGCACTCCTTCGAGTCCAAACATGCCCGAAAATAGAATATTAATCCGGAAGTGTGTGCTCATTGCTGGAAATATTTGACCTTGATTCTTTGAAACTTTGAAGCTTGCTAAAGAGGGACATCCGTCAAGCTTCACAATACTGATGAGATAAACACAAGACGAATTATCCAGACGAAGTCAATATATATATATATATACTGTCAGCAGTTCTTCTAGGAAAAAAATCATGAAATTTATCGACGCTGTATAAGTTATACGCATTGTCAGAGTCACAGACATCTGTAAACACAGAACGAATTTTCCAGATACAACAACAACGATCCCATACATAATGCCAATGGTTCTGGCAATAAATTATGCTTAGGAGGGCTAGCTAGTGTGTGAGTCCGTTGTGAGAAGCGATGCCACGATGCCGCACGATCTGAGATCGAGGTGAAAGGCGGTTGCTCTGACGACTCTTTGTTTTGTACGTTTTATTCCATAGTCCGCATTTTACACCAACACATGTTCCTGAAGCCGGGGGGGGTCTAGATCCCATTTTTTATTAAAGTTCCATTTCCCAGCCTATTGTGGTTAGAGCTCGACAACTGGATTCTGGACTTCGATTCGCAACTGCTCCTGGTTAGGTTTAATAAATGTCTAAAATTTAGACTCGAAATTTCTATTTGTAGACTTCGAATCTATTAATCGGAAAACTAGTTCTAACGAGAGCAAATGAACGCAGGGATTGTGTTTTAAAGTAAACACGTAAATGAAATACCTGCTCTGGGGTTTCTTTCAATTTCATTTTTGGGACTGGTATGGCCAAGCCCGCTGCGGAACTAAATCACTGACTCGAAAAAGGCAGAATGCAGTCTTCGTGGACTTTCTGGACAAATTCTGAAATCAACATTTGCTCCGCAGTTACGTAACTCCGAAAATTTCAACTGTCTTTATATAATGGTATATGCATGGTTTACCATACCTTTCGAATAGCGACATTTCTCATTTTCGATATCGAACCGTCAAGAATTCTGAAAATTTCACTATCTCTGGCATAGACAAATTCAGGCCTTCATTTCTCGGCTAATTCCCACTTTTATGTCTGTCATTCCCAAGTAATCCCACCCAGTCCATAAACAGGCAAAAAATCCCTGTGACTGTTCCCATTTTACCCGTTCAGAGTATCCTGTATACCAAGCCTGTAATTGCAGTTTGCAATTTATACCTATTTTGCGTTTTACACTAGGCATGCAGTCTGCGTGTGCAGTCTGCCGACTGAGTTATGCTGACCGTTTAGTAAAGCAAACACGCGACAAGATGGCTCGGAAACGTGCAGCTTAAATTTGCGCGATTTTGCCTTTTGCGTGGAATTTTGTACCGCTTCCTTATGTCAACGCGATGTAAGGTCCTGCTCATATGAGCCTAGCTAATCGGCAAGCATTTAATTGCAAATAGTTCAATTTGAGTTTATATGAGAAACGAGCCAGATCTCACCTTGCGCTATAGGGTTATGGGATCTCCGCCAAGTGGGATCCCGCGTATGCATGAAGGCTTTATCCAACCTGACCGAAATGGACATTTCACAGTCTGCTGATTTTGACCTATTGTACATACATTTTAATAAAGTACAAAACAATAGACACTCCGAAAATTGTGAACGTTTTCATTCTTTGCGTTTCGACTATAATTTAAGTCATCTTCAGAAGAAAGGCCTCATAAGAATCAATGAACCATATACAATGGCTATAAAAGGGTTCATGCTATGAAATTTCAAAGTGTTGTTGTGCCCGATTGGTTTGATATCTACAGGGTGTCCCAAAAAAAACCCAAACTATTGAAATAACGTATTGTTAGAATTTGAATGCCTCAGCACTCTGCTGAACCCACAAGTGCATAAGAGCTTGACATAAGTAAATATTATGCATAAAGAACTGTTTAAGAAGCTGCTTTAATTCCCAAGAGCAGAAAATCGTGCGCTTTACAAAGATATTTTATTTTATTAATAAGTCAAGATCTGTGATATTCATATATGCACCCTGTCAATATTTTACGCATCTTTGCAAAGATCAGCTTAGTGCTAAGGCATTCAAATTCTAACAATACGTTATTTCAATACTGAATAGTTTGGGGTTTTTTTGGTACGCCACTGTATATTGAACGGTAAAGTTGGAAAATATAAACAAAAAATAAACAACAATAGACCGAAACAGACATTATTAAAGTAGTACAGTTCGTTCAACTATAAGAAAAAAATATTTCGAAGACGCCGTGTTTATACATAATTTCGTCCCACCGAGGCGGGATATTACGGTTGGATAAAAACGTCATATCAACACGGAAATAATTCATCCCACGGCTCAGATGTGTTTTTCGGCCAGCCGAAGCCCATATTACATATATAAACAGACCCAAATCTAACCTGCACACGTTTGCCAGCGCATGATCTCCGCAAGCTTTCTGGTGACGACTTCTTCGCCATAATGTTAGCTCGCCAACGCCTCCCACGTTATTAAATAAATCCTTTTACACCAACCCATTAAATACTGACAGAACGCAAACATTTTATACACATGTAACGAAAAGCGAAAATTGCTAAAGCCATTAATTCATCAGACCTGATAAAAACAGAGTCACAAACAACAAGATAAGGTATCTAAATATATCGGAAGTGAGCTTAAATTGTAAAACTATTTTTACAGATTAGTTCAAGAATTCCGAGAATGCGAAGAACGACTTTGGTAGAGATACATTTTAGAAAACTCGCGTATTTATTGCTATATTAAGATTAATTTCGGAATCAAAATATTTTGGATATGGTTGCATGTATCTCCATACGCGGAAGAGCAATTTTATAATGATTTCTTTGCTAGCAACACTATTAAAAGAACATGCCAATTTTTCACGATTTTGAACTAATTATCAATTTGTTCACGATGTTTTAAAAATACATGCACAAAAATACATGACCCCCAAACCTTGGATCCCAGAAACAAAAGCATTTCCGCTATGATGCAATAAGCCCCTGCATGCAATCTGGATGTATAAGCATATTGTGCGGCAATACGTTCTGAGTATTCGAATATATACGGGCAATGAAAATATATTGAAAGAATTCAAAGACGAGCTCTGAAAATAATATATCTAAAGTACGAGTACGATACTGCATCAGGTGCGAGTGGATTAAAAACCTTGCCGTAGAGATTATTAATTATGCCGAATACGCAGAATACCACACATAAATTTAACTTATTACAATATTAGCCTATTCCCAAATAAACATTCAGATATTAGGAAAAAAGAAACAAGACACAAAAAATGTTAGAATAGAACGCTTTAAGTCCACTTGTTTGCGCTGTTGATAAATTTGTTATCAAAACCGTGGATGCTGAGTCCTCACACCTGAAAGAAACATGTCTTGTTTTCGTGTCAAAACATTCAGGAATGCGACTCAACATTTCTATGCCTATTAGGCCTGGATCAAACGTCGCTCTTCTCATGCGCCGAACATAATAGTTATATTAAGTGCAACACAAGCGCGACGTTTGATTAAGTTATAATTTCGGCAGAATATAGTGCCGGATTAGGAAAGAGACAATTGGAGCGACGTTGGCGCGACAGGTCTTGTCGCGACTCTGCAGCGACAGCAAGTCAAACGTCGCTCTTCTCACGCGCCGAACCCAATCCATATTATATTATTGTAATTTATTTTATATGTCCTCTATTTCAATGTATTTTATATATCTTTGTTAAACCATGATTTACATTAGGAAGCGCTATAGATGCGATATATTGAGTTTGACGTTTGATTTAACACCGCTCCAACGTCGCATTGTGTATAGTGCAGTCGAATCGAGTTGCATCAGGTTCGGCGCATTATCTGAAAAGAACAACGTTTTTCTCGGGCCTTACTGCTAAAATTATTAGCTAATTACACCACAATTTCCCGCAGATCAATCAGATGTAATCTCGCAGACCAATCGCATGTTCCATTAAAAACTGGAAAAGGTCTACAGAGAAGAGGCGAATTCTCACGTATTGTTCATCGAGGTCTGAACTAAAATCGTCGCTAATAATACAGCTTGTATGGCCTTTGCAATGTCGGAGGTCGATTAAAAATAACCCTAGACAGTGAAAAGCATAATATTGGCTTCGTAAGTTGTTGTTTTTACACAAGCAATTACTATCGAAACCGCAAACTTGGTAAATTGGTCCCTCGAGGTTTGCACGTGCGGATTGACTTTATGTACCACGTGACGGACTTTTTGGGCGCCTGGTGACCACTTTTGAACAACGGAGTTCGTCAACAATCTGCGTTGCTCTTACTACTGGAAATGGCGGTTTTATGATCAAGAAAATTATTTTTGGAGCTCTTTAAATTTAATATTTTTGAGTATATATTTCAAGGTGTGAGTCGGCAACATTCTTGAACCAACAAAAAATACGCGATTGTTCCCTCGATTTGCTTGTTTGCCTATTTATAGACTATGATAAAATATTTACCCGGTAATGTCTGAAGATAAGCATACTAAGGTGTAAGATTTGTACTAAATTATTTTTCTTTACTTTAATCTAAAACATGCTTTGGCATTGACAGTGCCTTTCAGAACTCTGGATTTACCGTTCACACTAATCAAAATGTTATTTAAGCAATCTTCTCCTGAAAGTTGAAACATTGCATCGCAGATTGTTTACTAACTCAGTTGAGGTTCAAAGCGGTCACGAGGTTCATTACGTGGTACATCAAATCAAGCCCACACCTGCAAATCTCGAGGAACCAATTTACCACTTAAGTGGTTTCGATAGTGTAGTAATATCAGAGCAAACGACGCAAATACAAGCACATTCGGCAACGCAAGATTATGTTCATGATGTCAGCGTTTTTTTGTCAGCGGACGTGACAAAAAGACAGTTACTTATGTTTTTCTTTTAGATTTGTTACCAGTTTAAATTTGTTTTTCACCAGTAACCTTCTTTGTTGACAAAAAGAATCCATATTTTTTACCCATGTTGTTGACACTGCGAATTTAGGGTGTGTTTTTTGTCACGTCCGCGTTCTAGATTTACCAAATCTTAAGCTGTCTATTATATAATCCAAAACGCCTCCACTTTCAAAGTCGCTTTCGAAAACCTTCGTTTTCACGGTTGGAGGTATCTATCGGCCAAAAACGCATACAAAATTGCAATTGAATCATAACATGTATATGTAGACCACCATTAAACTGTAGACCACAATAGACCATTCATAAAAATGACGGGCTTAAATATTCTTTTATCGGTGCATCTTATTAAGCCTTGGCTACGTCCAGATTCTAAAATTTCATTCAAATTGCTCGTCTGTGCAGTCAACTTTGTACACTTGTTCAAAAAGATAGCATACTAGTTTTTGAACAAGTGAGTATACTTGTTATCGTCATAGATTGGCAAAAATACAAATTTGAGTGTTTTGCATGGCCATGGTTCAACAAAGACAATTGAGTACTCATAGAAGATTCGCTGTACGCACACACGCATGCATGCTATTTGCAAGTGGATCATTCTTATAACATACCATCATTACAATTCAAGAAATGTTAATTACAGAGAAGTTGAAATTCACAAACATACTGAAAGATGCCGTACAATCAGCCCGGTGCATTAATAATTCATGGTTGCAGTCTGTTGCCTATGATACAGATGGAACAGTTCAACTAGGTTTTATAATTTATATGTTCTTGCAAAGCCTGATAGTGCTACCTTCATACGTTATTAATTGTAGAAGCAGGAAAATATACATTATTTGGATACAGAAATGTAAACAAAGCTGAGGCTTGCGAACGGAAGCATCTTGAAAGACGTGGAGATATCCTGAATGATCTTCCCAAGGTCAGGAAGGCGTTAATTTTCTAAGGCAAAAGTTGAAAGTTCAAATTTTTGGAAATTAATAGTCAAACTTATTCTAAAATTAGTACTATAATGAAGTAATGTCTAATGATAAGGTCGAACATTAAAAATATAATTCCAAATTTAAAACACAAAAAAACTTAATGAGTTCCACAAATACCATATAAATGGGGTCCTTCAAGCGGGACCACATGGATTCAAGCCCATTTATACTATAAAATTTGCAGGATTTTCACATATGTATCTATTTCGGCAACCATGCATGCAAAACATCTATAAATATTATATATTGCTAAGTTCAGATAATTCTCCCTAAGGCTAAGCTGTCAACATGAGCATATTAATAGGATATTTCTTTGTTAAATAAAGCGATCTGGTGCATATAAAATCCCACTTGACTTTCAATATTTATCCAACAGATCGGCTTATCCCAGAAACATGATCAATATTTCCAGCTCTCCTTTTGGAAATCCTACGCACAAGTATCGTTAAATTACAAGGAATTTTCCATTTCGGTCAACAACAGACTGCAGGGAGTGTCAGATTTCTGTTTTCTAGTTTGAAGGCTGTGAAGAGAGTCTAAATCCATTTTTTTTCTAAATCCATTTCCACATCCACCTCCCCCCCCCCAAAAAAATATTCCAGTTTCAACTCTAAACTTAAACGAATATCCCTGAGCAGGTGTTTCGCCTATATGTTGACTTCCAAAACACAATATTCTGTTTTTAATAGCTCTATTTAGAAACAAATTCAGAAAATAAAAGGTTTAAAGTCTATAAATACTTGTGATTTCCTTTCACATACTAAACATAGAGGGTGAGCAGGTGTTTCGCCCATATGTTGACTTCCAAAACACAATATTCTGTTTTTAATAGCTCTATTTAGAAACAAATTCAGAAAATAAAAGGTTTAAAGTCTATAAATACTCGTGATTTCCTTTCACATACTAAACATAGAGGGTGGGAAAGGGTATTTTCGTGAGTCGTGAATGGTCAATATTTGTTCGCGTGAAATGTGATTTGTTCTACAGCCGTAAGGCGTGATTGTCGATGAAATGCTCCGAGAAATGAGAATTAAGGATGTCCGTTTCGTGAACTGCGATTTTGCTTTGTTTATTTCGATCTATTTTAATAGTCATAATAGACAAGATACGCGATAATCAATTTATATGATCTCACTCGATTGCACAAGAGTAAAAATTTCGCCTTTCGGAGGTCGTCGGACATACTCGTCAAACTTCTAAGTTATGATGTAGCTTTAAGGCCGTTTTCCACTAGGCGGAATTTTCCGCGCGGAGCGGAATTTCTCTTTGTCTTTTCTAATTAGTTCCACCCGAGAAATCACAAGACAAAGAAAATTCCGCCTAGTGGAAAACTGCCTTTAGTACTTCAGGATCTGATATTCGTCTTCAAACAACAATCAATAATACAGCAACATTTTTAGTTATACTAAAAATGTAAAAAATAGCAAAAGTTCGGTTTATCTATAGTAAAAACAGGAACTAAATTAAAAACTTTAGTTCACACGCGTCATGTTTTAACCACAGAAAGTTCTTTCCCTATAGTCACGTTTAAGGTGCATGCGACATTATTCTCATCCCATTTTTTTTTCTACTTGTGATTTCTAAAACGTGCTGCATCTACATCAATATACATCCTGTTTACGCAATTTCATGCGTCCAAGTTTATTCGACGATTAGGATTAAACTTAAGAAAATATACTTACTATAAAACATAAAATAAGCCCCTTGTTAAGAGGAGAATATTTTAAAGCTCTTCAGGTATAGTTTCCTGCGTTTCGGTGACATCAATAACCTCCCTTCAGCCGCCACCCCAATAAATCATGAATGGTCGAATTTTGCACATTCGCATGAAGTAAATTCTTCAATTCTACGGATATTGCTCAGAAACCGTCCCAAACCGAAATAACTTTATTCCTATTTGTTTATAGTGGGGATAAATATTTGAGTGATTTATTTATAGTGGATAATATTCCTGGCTAAATTTCCTGGTTATTTTATCTCACCCTACCAGGAATCTGGGCGCTTTTCATTAACAAGGCCAGAACGGTCAAATTGTTGAATGGAACACAAAACGTTTGGGCTTCGGACCTATCTGACCGGAAAATTTAGATAAAATTAGAATGAAGTCCGTTTTCGCTAGATATTTGAGAAACATAGACCAGATCTTTCCATTGATACAGAGACAAAATTTCGGGTCTGACCGGTCAGAGCCGTCAGGCGGACATTAAATGGAAAGCGCCCCTGGTTATTTTTTACCAGGACGTTGGCTTTAAAATAACCAGACTATGGTAGGTGGAAAATAACCATGGGTTATTTATTCTGGTTAATTTAACCAGGAAGTCCTAGCCAAATAAGCAATTCCAGCTTTTAGTTTATGCGTACAGGGGACGATGGGAAGTAAAGGCCATGTTACACGGTGCAATTTTTCTTGCAACTTGCAATGCAATTCTACTCTTGAGAGATGTAAAATTGCCAAATACGAGTCTTCATTACACTCCGCTGATGTTTTCTCAAAATATCGAAAATTCTTCACTGATTTCACTAATTAACAATCAGCAATATGATACCTTACTTCCCATCATCCCCTGCAGGCATAAACTAAAAGCTGGATTGCCTGTTCGTTAGACTATAGTACGAAAAACATTAAAATAACTAGGAAATTTAACCAGGAATATTAAGTTAACCCAAATAGGGTTATTTCTAGGTTTATCTAATATTAGCATGACAAAATTTCTGCATGCTAATTGGTTGAGAGGAGTACAATTATTTCATTAATTGTACTGCAGTACAATTAATGATTTTCCCCAAACAAATACAATGGCGGAAAGGTATTTAAACACAAAAGAAATTTCCATAGAGAAACCTAAAGCAAAAGAACTAAACAAAAATACGAACAAAAGCTCCACATTTTGGTTGAAAATCTGGCAGGACTGGGCTTTGGCGAGAGAATATGATGCTGACATTGAGAATTATCCAATTTTGTCATCCTAATCATAAACAATTAAATAACTGGCGGCTCGTTCCAATTTTGGCAAAATTTTCAAACATCACTGTACTATATTTATCCCTAATTGTACTCGCCATCGCACGATTAGCAAAACCAGGAAAATTTCAACTAGATGATGCTTTAGAGTGCAGTTCTCGATAAAGTACTTGCCATTGGGCATTATCTGTTTTCTCTTAAGTCATAATTATGGTCTGTCAGGCAACAGAACACGACAGGTGCAGCTTAGATCAGCGTTATATTGACCTCTCGTATGGTGGCAAGTTCTCTCCTGTCACTCAAAGATAGCTATCCCCAAGTATCATCACTATTTAGGGTATATATCACTGCTTTTACCACACAATGCAAGAGAAAACATCAAAACAGCTGTGCACGTACTTGACCTTCATAACCTTTTAACCATAGTCATAATGCACAAAGCACAAAACACAAAACAGATCAACAACGAACCAGAAAAACATTCTTGACTGTTGTTTTATACATATGGCACATTATATTCATAAACATGTAAATCTTAGCCTTGGGTGGGTCACACAAGCTAAAAACAACTTAAAGATATATATAAGTATTTAAAAGTACTTATAAAGGCATATATCATGCCCGATCCGTTGGATTTGCTATAAGAAAAATAAACCTAAACTGGAAACCGGCCCTATAAAAATACGACTCTACTACATAAAATCAATCCTTATGTATAAAATTCTCAATGACCACACCTAAAAGAGTTTTTTTCGTTATAATGAAACAGATAACACTTGTAACCTTAGAAACAGAGAAAGCGCAGATTTATAGCACTTCCTAAGCCAAGAAAAAAATCGGCAAAAGGTGCTCCAAGTCTTCAATTATAATGGAGTCGCACTTTGGAATAATCTTCCCTATGACCATAAGCAAAATTTACCGTATCCTCCAGTTCTTTTAAAACGATTATAAAACAAAGCATAGGTTAAACTCGCTCGCCAATTTTTATATTTTAATGATTTAATAATTTGTCCTGTCACGTTCTGTTGTGATTACCTTTGTATTTTTTTAGTGCGCGTATACCATTTTAATTCTCGATCTCCCGAAATTAATTCAATTAATTCCAAGTCATTGCTGCCTTATAAGAATACTTCAAGACTATCAGTTTTACAAAGTATAGATATAACAGTTAAAGGATTTTTGCAGATGGAAAATTCGAGTGAAGATTATATTCAATTCTTACCAGGAGCAACTATAGGAATCGAACCTGCATGCGGCCGTGCGATTCTGGTGCAGCGCTCTAACCAAGCTACCAGTTGTCGAAATATATATATATATATATATATATATATATATATATATATATATATATATATATATATATATATATATATATATATATATATATATATATATATATATATATATCTTGTTTTGTTGTAGTAGATAATAAAGTGCTCAACACTAGTATTATAGTAGAGCAAGATATATTTATATCTTAAAATTAATTATTGCTACTCAAGTTTCACGCCTTATTCAAGACGATCTTCAGGCAATAATCTATCTATCTTCTGAAGATCGTCTTGAATAAGGCGTGAAACTTGAGTAGCAATAATTAATTTTAAGATATAAATATATCTTGCTCTACTATAATACTCTACTAAAATCTCGATAAAGATATATAATACCATGTATTCCCTTCGGAAAATTAAATCTTAGAAGTACCGAAGTTTATGGCATAGCGGTATGCTGAGCAATGACACTCAAAACCAAGGCAATTCTGCCAATTTGGCATATCACTGGGCTAAACTATAGTTCAAATGCTGGTTAACAGAACTAAAATGTTGTAGAGAAGATCTTGTAGTTCAAGAACATTGCTGCTTGAACAACCTTTCTTTTACAGTTAACTATAATCTATCTCTAGAAAATAATGTTTTTTTGCTGAATTGTGCACCGTGACTTATTTCACTACGTCGAAACCATCCCGCCTCATATCTCGTTCTGGCAAGCGGGTCATATAAACAGCCTCTTATTCAGCAAATTGTGCATGCTGCCTTTGGTCTCTTGGGGGTGAGGCAGCACTCTCCTTGTGATAGTAACTTCTAGTTTTTATATATAGTGGGTGATGGCAGTAATAATAATAAAGTACGACTCTTTGAATTGGTATAACATCAAAACTAAAAGAGCAATGACAATAAAACACGTTTATTGGCATTCAGCGATGTCTAACTTAAATTTTGATATATGCCATGCACATTTCCACGCCATATTGACAAAGATACGTGCATTTGAACAAGAGTAACATTTTTGAAACTGAGAGAATTAAGCTAAAAACGGCCTATTAAATATTAATACCTTTATATACAAAAACAACTTGTGTTAAGACGCGTTATACTCTATAGTCAGTACGTTAACGCTTGTTGTTCAAAAGCAATCATCTATTCATCAGCAAATTCATGTCCCCCGGCACAATTGCAAAAATCTTGCCCGTGAAATGGGACAGCTCGTTCTAGACTCATTAGAACATACAGACTACCTATCCCACGGGTATCGGATACCTTCTAGGAACAAAACTTTTAATGAAATCGGCCTTATAAGTTCACATCCATTGCCCAACATCGTAAAACAAAAAATAAAAAGTCTGTGAATGAAGAAATATTTCTATAACTTCGACTTCACTTCGTTGAAACAATAATCGCGAACAAATCGTAACGGTTATTGAATTAGTTTAATAGGGGCTTTTCAGCTAATTATTGGCGGTTCCAAAAATGTTTGCGTAAGTTTAAACACAATTATCTCAGTCATAATCGCATGAAAATGCACCAGACATATATCAAAATCTAAGTTAAACATCGCGGAATATAGGGTGATTTATTTAAGTGTAATAGCTCTTTTAGTTTTTGAGTCATAGTAAATCAAACAGTCGTACTTTTTTTTGCCCCACCCGGTACAATAAAAGATACAAAGCGTATATTTATAAAAACTATAAAATAAAAGATTATAAAGAATGCATTTACATTTTTTATATTATGAATGATAATATGCATGTTTACGTAATGCACTGATTATCCTGATTATCATATAATAGAAGAATATCATGAAAATATTTTGCTACTATTTTCATGACAGATTTATCATGTATATTTAAAATATATAAGAATAAATTATTTGTACCAAATAAGCGGAAAGAACCATTGATAGTTGATACCATATAAATCGTTTAAAAAAATATTTCGAGTTTCTGAAATTTTTTGTATGCATTACAATGCTCCATGGAGCATGATAATAAGTAGTGAAATTCATCTCCAATTTCATTCGATTGTCATAAGGTACAAAACCGATCTTCGTATGGTGTTTTAGTATATCTGCCAGATTCAACCGGTAGTTTGTGCGCAGATATTTTCATTTTTGTTATTGCTTGGCGATGTTTAACATTGCACATTTCATGAAGGTATTCCTCAAATACAAAATTATTCTTAACTTGTACTAGAGTTCTTAATTTACCACTATAACGACTTTTTTCAATCTGATCTTTCCAAAAATGAGTAAAGTAAGTAAATAATCTATTTTTTAAATATGTACCTACATTATGTAAACTTTCAAGTGGGAGAGATATACCATTTAGTGAACCCAGATTACATAGTTTTAATATATAGCCTAGTTTGTGAAGTTAACTGCCTGAGTATTCGCTCGAATATCAAAACTCGCTGCCTCTCCTACAAGAGTATTCATATAATTCGGAGCTTCAATTCGTATCCAATACTTTGTCACTAGAGTAGAGATCTGTACTATTAGAGGGACTCTACCTAGTTCACCATATACTGCTAGATTTGTTCACCATATACTGCTAGATTTGATTTCAACTGTAGTGATTTCATTTTATTCACCGCACTGAAAAATCTCTTTTGGAAAAGTTCAAACGAAGAAATTTTACCCAATAAACAAACACCCCAGATTTCACAACCACATAAAAAAACTGGAACCTGCACTAGCGAATAAAATAGTCGGTATATTCTCTGCATTTGAAAGTTTCTGCATTAGGCAATTGTAAGCTCGTAATGCCTTGTTGTATAACATCGTTATCGCAATCTTAAAGGTTATTCCGCAGTTTTGCATTGCGCACTTTTACTGCGCACATCATATAACTTATAATTCCATCCATTATACGTAGCTTTTAAAAAAAAAACATTTTATGACAATTTTATGTTACTTCAAAACATCTTTGGTTACATTCGTGCAAAGAATTACGTTAAAATCAATGTTTTCAAAAAAGCCATACAAAAGTGTAGCTAGGGTTGCTGTGTCTGTCGTATATTTATTTACTTGTATTTCACGTTTTAATGCCACAATTCCCTAAAAAAGATCGGTGACCCCCGTTTTTTAACTGATAATTTATTTCTTTAATGCATTTTACATTTCATATCAGAAATTAAAAGCAAAATCATTTCTGGATCTTGAAAAAAATGCTTTATCAATGCATGTTCTCAAATAAAGATATGTAAAGAAATGTGGGAAAGACATTTGTGGATCAGAATTGTACACGTTAGTAGTTTCATTTTGCTCAAAACACAATAGTTTTTCAAAAATAATTACAAGATAGGTTTACTAAAGGAAAATCCGCGCTAGAAACGTCAATAAATATCGGGCTGTTGTGAGTTTGCTGTTACTCGTAATGAGCGTCAAGATGGCGCCATATTGGGGTAAAGGTGGTATATTGTGATTGTCATATCTTCTTAACGAGTTCGGTGACCCCGACTTTTTTGTGATTTTACTTTAAGTATATCATAAACTCCATGCCTGGGAAGTTTCAGCACATTCTCATTTCGGGAACAATTACTGCAGAATTACCTTAAAGTTACCACCACAGTGAAAAGTTAATCCCAAATACGTATATTCGTTCACACAATCCAGTGGATTGTCCCCGAAGAACCACTTGGTGGAGATAAATTGTCGTCTTTGGGACTTTGTCCAGAATTTTCGTTTTTTTTAGATTAACTTGTAATTTCCATTATGTAGGCAGTATGCGGTATGGATAAAATCTCGATAAAGATATATAATATCATGTATTCGCTTCGGAAAATTAAATCTTCGAAATACCGAAGTTTAAGCATTGTGTAAATCTTAAATATTTACATTTCGCCTCAATAAGCGGTCCCTGTTGAAAAAATAGTTTATCGGCCTGGAAATACATAAAATTTAAAATAATGCAAAGTAATGCCAGGTATTTTATGAATCGGTCCGCTATAGCATAGCCGGTGATGCTGAGCAATGACACTCAAAACCAAGGCAATTTGGCATTCATTTATATTGATGATAGCAACTCGGGTTAACTGACATGTATATATTGTGAGTGAAAGAGGTCAAGTGAAATATTAAAGAATAAGAGAGCAGCCTTGTTCTTTTGTGTAGAGGACTATTAAGTTGGACAATGAAAATGTTTCAATATTGGTTTTAAAGATTTTGAGAGGCGGATAAGCCATGAATAACGAATTGATTAAGAAAGAGTTATGACAAATTAAAACATTATATACACAGCATGACATGACGATGCGTGGGCAAAACAATGTTAATATGGAAATTAGGAATACAAAATTCCGGATGCTACAATCACAGTTTTATGCAAACATCACAACAACAAGTCAATATATGCCGATTTGTGCTTCGCAACTGCACAAAGATCGATTGGCAATTGGTAATATTTCCAAAATGTTAGAATTAGTAATTATTCATGTTAAAAACCTGGAGAACTTTCTCATAAATCGTTCTCATGTTTCATTATATTGACTCAATGAATTGTCAAGATATTCACTTAATACGTCATCGAGTCACTTGCTTTTATAGGCATTGTAGGTGTCTTTACATCACGGCATGATACAGGTGCTTCTTAGTGGGATAATTTTGAAAATATTCAAGTCTAAACTGATTATAAGAGAGGTTAGCCATAGTTCTTGGGACAGTCTTTTTCATGCAGCTATTCAGGGTTTCCAATGCGGCGAGCGCTTTTCTCCGAGGTCATGTGTTCCAATCTCGCCCCCGACTGAAGACATTCAAGCGAAAAGAGATTGTCAACGGTCTACCAAAAGTCATTGGTTTTCTCCGACATCTCTGGTTTCCTAGTCCCACATGGAAAAGTAGACATATAGATGTTAATTCATAAATTTATAATTATATGAACTGTTCACGCATGTAACTGGTATATCTATATGTATCCTATTGTTATTGACCCATTCTGTCTACATCTTTGCGGAAACCGGAAACCGGAGTGCTTGGAGAAAAATCACGACTTTCGGTCCCTCATGAAAAAATAAATGTCAAATACAGTTCAGAAGTGGTCTGCTAGTTGATTTTCCACAACACACACATAATTATAAATCAAGTTTTTGTTTTCTGCTCCCTATTCCCTAATGTCATATTGTCTCTGGCAATTACTGGTTATTTATCAAATTATCAGCAACTAAAGACGTTAATGGCATTCACTGCCAAGTTTTAAATATTGGCCTCAAAAATCAAGGTATTAACATGCAACAGGAGTCTAAATAAATGTCACAATGTCCATGGAATATGCTAAAATGGCGTCTGTAATCTGCCTCAACAGACAACTATTGTCTACAAAATACAGCAGTTGAAAGTAAACAATGAGACGTAATGATTGCCTTGACGATTGCCCTTTTATATTGTCAACAATGTTCTAGCTAAACCGTAAACGTTTAAGAGCTAATAATATAAAGAGCCTTTACGTTCAAGGCTTAAAAAGGGCGTTTGCGATATTGTCTATTGAATATAGTACACTCAAGAAACTATAGGTATGCAATTGAAGACTCCTACTATTCCAAAATATTGTCCCTGCATGATTACAATATTTTGTTTACATGAGACGCAGGTGTTTCTATTGAGGTGTTTATAATCCAGCTATCCAAAGAGATTGCGGTTCAAATGTCCATTGACAATATCTGATTGAAACATTGAGACCTTCAAAGGTTCCACTGATTGAATCAATCATAATAATCTTATATTATTCTTATATTAATATCCTAAATCAAATTATATAATAATAATAATAATAATAATAATAGTAATAATAAATTTATTTACACAGAAATACCAATAATACATTGAATGCAGAACATTATTCATTAAAGATACATTAAATCAAGAAAGCTGATATTTATACCCAAACTCGGCAAAAGGCTATCTATAATTTCAGAACCATTCTCGGAGATGCGAAAAATCAGGTTCATAATATAATGAATAGTATGAAAACCAGTTTCATACTATGCATATATTCTTTTAGAATAGTATATGAAACAATCTATAATGCCTATTTATTATATAACAAGCTATCATTATATTATGTAATTTGCCTTTCAAAATATGGCCACATGCAATTCAATAGATTCCCTTTCAATTATTTACTTGTTCTATTGTAGGTTTATGTCAGTGGTGCGGCGATAAATTTTATAGTTCAATTTTACAGTCACTTCACATAAAAAATATGAAAACAAATTAAAATGATCGCACTATAGAACTTGAGTTTCTACATTGAAAAGCACTGAAAAATATCTCATGTAATTGTTTGGCAAACTAAATGAGATTTTGCCTTTGAAAGTTGAAGATTATCTTCCATATAATTAGTCATTCAAGAAGATTTAAATTTCAGCAAGTGAGGACGAATAAGATTTAAGTTTGAAAAACAGGTTGAATTTAGGACAGGTAAATTAGAATATGTAACCTTGACTCTTGTTTCAGGCGTGGTTTCAAGTTCGAATTTGGCGGAACTGATTTGTAGTGTAATGACGTACAAGTGGGGCATACACTCATCGTTGTGTTTAAATCAGCTAATAGCTCTGATGAGGAAACGAAACGTTAACAATTGAAATTTAGATAATTAGAATGAAACACGAGTCATAATAACTACCTTTAATTACCCTCTAAAACGGATTTCATATAAAAAATCTCAACTTAAAGACGAGAAGATGGAGGGTTTCTTTACATGTGCTTTCAAAAATCTTGTACACTAGCTAGCTTTCCGACAAATAGAAAAACCTCTGAAATCCATTAAACCCCAAATCCATGCAAAAACGTCCTATAAACACTAAAATCTCCACAAAATAGTTGAAAATCTCAAAATGTCTTGCAAAATCCGCAAAATCTCTTGCAAAATCCCCAAATCTCCCCAAAATCCTAAAATCGTGTTGAAAAATATTCTCAATATTGATATAGACATGATAAAATGACATCCATCTGCAGAGATTTAAACTATACGTCATAGACATGAAAATCAAGAAATCTACCACTATGTACTAATTATTGAGATATCAAACTGTTTCAAGGAGAACTAATGATATAATGGCTTGGAAACGCTCCCGCCCTAACCTTGGCTGAAATTTTATTGCAAAAAGCATAAAAATGAAAATATGTATAATTATAAATCTGAGGTTCCATGAATTATAATATTTATAAGAGTGCTTTAATTAGAGCCACATGGCTACTGGCCATGTATAAACTCAAAAACTTAAGTTATATAAGTAAAATTACTCATATTTATGAGCAAATTTACTCATTTCTCAAGTAAAGTAAATCGTTACTACTCAAATAATTGAACAGCCTGCAAAGCAGACCATTTGGGTGGGTATATGACTGAATAAATGAAACGCCTGCCCAATAAATGAGTAAATTTGAAACTTTACTAAACAAAATTGTCTGAGTACATTTACTCACACATTTGAGTAATCTACTTAAAATGTTGAACCATGATGTTTTGCCTGATAAATAAACATGAGCTTTAGTATTACAAATTTGCAAAAGTATATTAACCCACTGAGAGCCAGCACCAGTGGCGGAAATCTTGGTGGGGCGTGGCTGCCCCCCCCCCCCAACTTCATGGAAAATTGCCGAATTTTCGGAAATTTTGACCTAAAAGACGGCTAAAAACAGTCTTTTCGAGTGCAAATGGGGTGGTATGTCGGACATTTGAAAGTTTTATCGGAAATTTAGGAGGCTTCCCCCCCCCCCGGAAAAAGTGAATTTCCGCCACTGGCCAGCACTTTAGACTAGTGGTATTAAACAAAGTAAACTAACAAAGTAAGGTGCATTAGGGCGCAATGCCATTTAACAATAATTAAACCACAGCCACTGCGCATGAGGTCCAAGAAAGGTACAAATTTTACCCGTATAAGTTGATGTTAATATTGCTTTAAAACAGAACAGCAAGTTGTATATCTAATAATTAGTAATAAAGTCTGTATAATTAGTCGGTAAAATGAAGCAAATTACCAAGCTATTTGACAGTATTTGTTTTGCTAATTTTAAGGCGCTGCAGTGTAGCGTTGTTTTGCCGTTTTGGCTCCTTTGCCGTTTTGATCTCTTGATATCAGTTTTGAGTCGAAAAACCAACAAAGGAGCCGAAACCGCAAGAAAGTCCATTGTCGCGGGATTTGATTGTCTATACTGTCTGCATGTTGATCGAAATAAACATATTTTATATCAGTACGTTCTAGCAAATTTAGTTGAACAATAATACGTCTTAATAGGCTAACAATCCAGCATGGATTAATTTGGTATAGAGCCTGCCCGTAAACAGGCAATATATACCAGAGTAAAGACAATCGGCTTCATTAGTATACCGTCTTATACAGGGTGCATGTATGAAAAATAATCCAACTTTAACATGTTTGCGCGCCTTCAATATTGAGTCGACAAACGTTTTAGTACACAGCAGGAAAATTCATGGGATTTTAGATGTCCAATGATACCTTTTTTGTAATTAGGCATTATAAGGGAAAATGACCAAAAACAAACCGAGCAAAAATTACCGATCGGGGAAATCGTGTTTTTCCATCGTCGACGTCGGGAAGTGGGGGGAAACTCTAAAATTCATGATTTTAATTTAACCAAGAGTTTACAAAAGAGTTTACAAAAACTTGAAAATAAACTTCGATTGTGAAAGGTATCTTTACTTAGTCCAGAATTTCAAATATCGTCAAGCTGTTAGAAAACTAAGGATCTCAGCACATAGATTACCTGTTGAAACTGGTCGATATGACAATGTTCCATACAATGATAGGCTGTGTAAACATTGTGACATAAATGAGATTGGAAATGAATACCACTTTCTAATGTCATGCAGAAATTCTAAATTTATTAGTCTTAGAAATATTTTTATAAATAATTTATGTAAAATAAATCGTTCTTTCTGTTTGTTCACTCAACAAGATATTTTTAGATATATTATGGCTATTCAAGACAAGACAATTATGAACTTGGTTGCAAATACTGTTACGACATTTTAGCAGTTTTTGAAAGTTTAAATTAGGTTATTAGTAAAATTGTTATATTTTTGTATGTAATGTAGTGGTAGATTTTTTATGTATGTATCTTAATATACCATATTTAATTCATTTAACTCAGTTTTCAGTACTGAGGATAAAATGAAATAATTGTCAATATATGTTTTAAGCTTATTGTTCTAGCAAGACACATTAGTGATTAATTGCCTTTTTCTTTTGTTATGCATTGCTTTAATGATGCACAAAGGTGGACCGACCGGCAATTTTTAATCGGTTCGTATTCAGGTTATTTTTAATCGGTTCGTATTTGGTTATTTTTGCTACGAGCACGCAGTCAGTCAAAACTTCACATTCGTGATATCAGCTTTGAAGCTGGTTTACAAAGCAAGTGGCATGAGTTTTCTCATACTGCAGTAACAGTATAGTCCTATAACTGATTGCCTTTACTACACCTCTCTAAGACTAAGACTGAGACAAAAAGTTAAAGCAAAATTTTTAGAGTTACTAAACAGATGGAATCCTGATTTTAATACAATCGTAACACTGGATGGCAATTATTATGTTAAAGATGGCTCTTAACTGGACCTCAAGGACTTGCTAGCTCTGTAAGGAAATTCAGAGGGCCTGACTGGGCATCAAAATGAGGGGTATTGCGTCGAGATAAATTGTAGTTGAACTACAGTAAAGCCCCGCATAAAAGAACCAGTAGGTTAAGAACCACTAGCCTGAAATTTGGGCAATTAAGCACCCAAAATACACTATAGTCTTTTTTAAGTTTAGATATATGTTATAACGAGAACCATATTAGTGTCATAGCAATAGTTTTATGCAACAACAGTCGCTATTAATGTGTAGAATAGAAAAAACTGTATAGTTTGAAGTAAGATTATATAAGAACCACTTCAGTCAGTCTGAACTCTGAAGTCAAATTCACTGGTTCTAGTTCATGCGGGGGCTTTTAAATACTGTATATAGCATGTAGCTGGGATTGGAAGCATTAAATTATAAATATATGCATGTGTGTGTGTGTTTTGTATCACGCTATTTGTGTTTTATTTATAGCCACGATTGACCTGCAATAAAACATTTTTGTACTAACATATTTTGTCTTCTGCATGTTTTAGTTTGCAAAGTAAAGATTGTATTTTGATCCTGAATGAGTGAGTCAACCATGGTCCATGGCCATGCGGAGATTAATTGCTTTTAAAGCAACTTTTTCCATATTCAAATTGAGATTGAATAGTTGATACTTTCATATATGCATATTCTAACGATTCCAGTCTCAGCTATACATGTCATAGACATAGTTCATCTGCGATTTACCGACGCGTCATTGGAAGAAACAAAGGAACTGACATAGTGGGCAAACAGCCAGATACAACAAATAAGAGCTATTATTATTAATGAAAAATAAACTTGGTTTTTTTTGTAGCGCACATGAGTCCAAATTTATGCGTGAGTAACACATGCAACTCTATATGCGCACTCTATATTTTAGACATGTTTACAGAATATTGGTTATATTGTTGCGAGTATATTTCCGGCACCATTTTATAATATGAAGAGTCTAGAAGATAACTGCTGGTAATCCGATTAGATCAAAGTTGAATGGCCAAAACTTGCATACAGAAAGAAAATTTATCTCTTTAGTACTAAAGTCTAAACATCCAATATAGATCAAGAAATATTCAATTTATGTTTTTGTGGTTGCCATTCACATTAGTCTTATACAAATATTGAAAATGCTGAAACGCATGACTCCTTGAATATTAAAAGTAAATCAACTGAAAGGATACTTAAAGAAATCCTTAGCACAGAAAAATACCACAAAAATGTGCAGTTAGACTGGGACATTCTGCTATAAGCACTGAGCGCGGTCAACGGTCATGGACCTGGGTTCGTATAAAACTGCTTTTACTGCTAATCTTCATTGGGAAGTGTTTGTAATCGGACTTATACTGAACCGCATCTAGTAACAAATTCTCAGTAGATGGCGATTGGCGAAATACTCAAGTTATTCCAATACAAATTTTGTTTGCTGAAGCAACAGGGAAATGCGGGTATATAAGGGGTTAAGGCTGGTGATTTGATCACATGCATTGGAGTTGAACTTTGACACAGCCATCTTTGAAGTCAATAGGATTGCATCGTTCAGACTTTTATAGGGAGGTTTATATAAGGTCATACATTGTGACAAAGCATGATATTTTGCCCAACGAAATTTCGATAGTGCAAACCAGAATTTTAAACTTAATCACAGCTCCGTGAAGTAAAGGTACTGCGACTTTTTTTGCATAAGACTTGTTTACAATGAACTTTAAAAGTTTTAGTGTGATCAAAATGGCTTCATCTCGCGCAAACAAAACTTTGACAGCAATGCCAATGATGGGAAGACTTAAGAAATAAATGCGAGCTTTGCAAATATTTGATGAACCTTTTGAATGGGGTTACAGTTCACACACTTTCATCAAAATGTACTTTGCTCAAAGAAACTTCAGTGTTGTGCCAACTGCATTGTCTATAAACCATCCTTAACAATTACTGGCAAAATATATATTTGCCTGCAAAAGGACGATATCGAAGACAAGACTATAATTCTCCGGACTGTTAATTAAACAGTCACAGTTTCGAAGTGATGTGTGCGTATATATGTGCATATATATGTTTCTATTGTGAGCTATTCTGAGCACAAAAGCGGGGCAGAGTGCCAAGCACAGACAGAAGTCAACATGTCACCACAGAATATGTGATTGGACAAAAACGTAATGGTCTGGGAACACTTTGCGAGAGACGTTACCCGCCTCCTGTCAATATGTCTCAATCACAAGCACAGGTAATTAGCTGTCTTCAAAACGAATGCGAAAATAAGTTTGCAAGCACCGCCATACCTCTACATCAAGGAAACGCCGCGTTTGAGCCCCTCGTTTGCAATAAATGCAACAAGAAATCTCGCCGACCACTCAAAAAAAATCTCTTAACTTAGGGGGGTCACAAGCATCGGGCAGATATGATATAAGAATTAAATCTGCTCGCGTGTGCCAAAAAAAATATTTGAAAACACTTCATATACTAAGTAACCTCCTGGTTGTACCCCGAAACGTCGATGTGTGTTTGAATTTTAGGTGGACAAGTATCAACAGCGATCTAATACAAATGACTGTAGCCAAAACGATTATAAATGCGTATTAAATATAAGTTTATATATCAATTCACTGTATGCTAAATTCATGAGCGAGGCCTGTGTTACCATTGTGACTGCAACAAACTTCCGATTATAATACAAGCAAATCGTAAACACACTTATACAAAATCTCTGTTTTGGAATACTATCTTTAAATTTAACCCACGGGCACTGGATTGTTTAGATGCCTGATGCCATGACCTTGAACTGCATATTGTTTGGTTCTTGTATGCAGGAAAACGTAGTTATAATAAGCTGAAATACTCGTATCCGATCTAAATATTTTATGAACACGCACGTTCGCGCATAATTACAGCACAATAAAAGTGAGTAAACGCAATATTATGCCAACAAATGGCCCTTTTACTTTTAGAGAAATCACTTCGGCCGTTGCCAGCTTTTGCATTCCCCAGGCATTTCTGGAAGCAGCTTACAGACAGACGGGGCTGAAAAGGTCGAAATGCCAGAGTCGGCGTGTATACATTGCCAGCGATCAAATATATGCGGGTTTCGGCGAGGGCAGAAACGAAACCACAAACTCCGCGTTATGCTTTGCTTTCACAAATAGGTAGAAATTGCCATAAATATTCCTGTTAGCAGACGAAACAAAGGCATTCTAATATGACATTTATCAAATCCTGACCCCGACTGTATACACAAACGGCTCAGACAAAGACCGGCTAAGCAATCGCGTAGGAACACTGTGAGGGCTGATTATTCATGGCAGATTTAATATACATATATGAAACTCACCTTCTGCAAGAAGGATTCCAATGAGCAAGCCTCTTCTTCCTTTTCGTTTGATTCACAGTTCTGCAAACCGTCTGTCTTTTCCGGAATCACACTAGGCCGTATAGTTCTCTCCAAGCTACCCAAAGTCTGCAAGAGAAACGGAGTTCTGAATGTAAACAATATGGTATTGGCTTATATTCGATACCGCGATAGAACACGACGGATACAGAAATTATAGCAAACTTTGTTTTCGAATTGTCGAATTTATAATCACCCCCACAAAACGGAAACTTGATATATCTCATATTTATGCATGGCGGAGTTGAATACCTTGTCGTGAGCTCGATCGTATACAATATATGCAAGCTCGAATCCGCAATAGTCTCCGGCCTCGTCGCATTGCAAAGGCTCGCAAGCTAAGACAACCACTACAGGCGATTCCTCATCCAGCATATTGGACGACGAAATAGAGAGACAGGCAGAAAGTAGCGACTATTACGCCGCACTTGTTCGCTTGATACCTGCACGGAAAGTCACCTGAGCCGACGAAAACAAGGCTTAGCAGATGTGATGAAATATAAGCAAGATTACGCGTTCTGATTGGTTCGCGCGCGCTCTGGGGGTTTACAGGGACACGTGGATAGCGAGCTCTGAATGGCTCTTCCTGCTAAGGAAACCACGGCGCTGTATAATATGGGGTAATCACTACACGAAACTCTGCGGGAATCTTTTTGTTATGTTTTGTGTTTTTTGTTCCATTCTACTGATTCTAGCAAGAAGCCATATAATGTCACGCATCCCGTTTGCATTGTAGAACAATGTTTAACTGGAATGTACTAAGAGAGGAACAAAGATGAAACAGGAAGACCGCGATCGCGTTCAAAAATTGCTCAGAATTCATCCCGATTAGTTACAAGATCGAACTCACTGACTTACAACTGCAAGCCGGGACGAATTCTGAACGCGAAAAATGTAAACGCAACTAATTTTGGACCGGTCTGAATTTGGAACAACGCCGATAATACGAAACTATGACCTTATAGACAAGATTGCATTTTTTGAAATACGAGAAAGAAACTCAAATGATTTCCGACCCGGTCTCATGTAATTAACACGCTGTTCAATTTCCATTTTTCGTCCGCCTCTTACTGTCTCGGGTATATAAACAGCGACTGGAGACAACACCGCAACCGACACGAAATCGTCTCGTTCTGACATAGTCGTGGGCTGACTTAATTCCGTTCGCATGTAAACGAGGTCGAAGAGGATTTGCCGGCTTTTTAACAGGCGGTCAAAGCGAAAATGAACGAGTTAATTAATTCCTAGGTTAAATTTATCCCACATGCAATGATTAAACAGGATATGATGTCATTTTATTTTAATTTCACACGGGGCTTCCAAACATCAGATTCATGGTAGTGATAAAACGGCAAATGGCCTTATTACATTCATCACATGCATTGCCACGTACAAATAAAGTCGAAATATCGGGAAGGGTATTTTAGTCGACTACAGTCTTGTAGTATATAAATTATATACAGTTTATGAATGCGTATTTCCAAAGTTGCGGTGACGCTATTGGCAACTAGCCCATATTGTTAAGCGGTCAGAGTCAGTGAAATGAATATAACTGGAACGCTACCTTGAAGATAAACTTTTTCTTAAAGCCAAATCTGACATCCAGACACGCGTCAGGCCCAGCCTGGGCTGGGCGTCAAGACACGCGTAAGTATTTACATCATGATTGACTGATTGAGCGCTCTTCGCATATGCGTGAAAAGACTGCACTGGCCTTCAAGTTTGGCTTCACATTTCCGGTTCGAAGTAGCGTTTCAAAATTCATTTCAATGGTCAAAGTACGTCGGCGACAGAGTGCTGTACGGGAATGGCAAGGTCAAGCCTTCGATTCCTGGTTGGTGCCGAAAAGGTCGTGCAAAAACTTTCCTTCTATATCTTGACGTAGGATGTACGTAGAAGGCTCTTCCGCAAACAAATAATAATAATTAACAAAATCTCTTAATAAGAGGGTATTTATACATCAAAGCCTTCACTGAAACTACCGAATGATAGCTGAATAACTGTGCAAAAAAATTGTAACAATACGTTTTTAACCATGAAAACATTGAAGAACTGGAAGTTAAAGATGATGTCCACCCCAGTGCACATGCGCGAACTTTGTTTACGTTTTAAGCTGCTACATTTTTAAAATATGATATACTCAAGGGTGGGTTGTAGCGAAGTAGTTGTAGTTCGCTACTGTAGCGAACTACAATTTTCAAGTAGCCAGTAGTTTTTGACTACATTTTTAAAACAGTAGCTGTAGTTATAGCGAACTACATTTTGCCTAAAAGTAGCCAAGTAGTTGACTACTTTTCAAACAGCAAATCGCTATTCGCTACTTTTTAAAATTGTTAACAACTTGATAGAATAGCCTGATATTGAGACACGGTTTGCTTAAAATCGATACTCAATAGTCAATTTGCACTCCTGAACACTCTAGTGATTACAAATATGTTGCTTTGTGTTTACTGTTGCTACTCGTAAGTCGATTTGTTGTAGGTTATATTACAGCCTGAGCTAGTGGATGCTCCAAATACCGTAAAACTAAAAAATATAGAGTAGCGAAATAGCGAAATAGTTCGCTACATTTTTTAAGCAGTAGCTGTAGTCAGTAGCGAACTACCTTTGTTCAAAAGTAGCAGTAGTTGCAGCTGACTACATATTTTTGAAGTAGCTGTAGTTATAGCGAACTACAAAAATTTTGTAGTCAACCCAGCCTTGGATATACTAACTGAATATCTAACACTTTTCTGGTTCGCTTACTTGTAAATGAATATAAACTGTACGTTTCAATTCAATTCAAAAAAGTTCGAAAGATGCAAAATTTGGGCAATGTTTATATCTGCGGGTCCCCCATTGTTATGAGCAGAACTGATGCGCAGAACGGAGTGGACATCATCTTTAAGCTACATATTGCATTAAATTTAAAAGTTTAAAGAACGTATGTTGGCAACCTATTCGCCTCTTTCGCAAAAATGTCTGCCACCACAGGTGAAAAGTGAAAACTACAGTATTCTACCTAATGACCATTTATGTTAAGAATTGCTTCATGTTACATCATCCTAAGCAGCTTGCGATAGATGTGACGCAGCATTTTTCACAAGCGTACAAACCGTACGCTGGGAAGTGATGTACGTCATCATCATCCCTGAGATTCAACATTTAAAGAGTTCAGGGGGGAGGTGGCCGGTAAAAAGAGTACTCTTGTCACACTCGCCGCCTGATAATATTGATATTTGATAATCATGGACGGCCCTTTACAGTTATATACTACAGCCAATCTACCGACGTGGTCAAGTCACACCCTTTCGATAATTACGTCACAATTACACTGTTTTCAACTTAGGACCACCTTAAATGGAAAGGATTTCAAGTTTTTTTTTCGCATGGGATATGCACAGAGAAGCAGAACATCCTTCTTGCGCGAAAAAAATTTGGATTTTGATCAATAAATATGGAAATAAGCATTAACACAAAAACGAGGCTCCAGGTAAGCTTATTTCCACATTTATTGGTCAAAATAAAGAATTCTTTTTCATGCATGTGTTGAAGAAGGATGTTCTGCTTCTCTGTGCATATCCCACGAGATAAAAACTTGAAATCCTTTCCATTTAAGGTGGCCCTAAGTTGAAAACAGTGTAGTTGTGACGTAATTATCGAAAGGCATGTATTTTGTTGCTCATGTAACTCCACCTTGAGTTGGATAATTTATAATTTATTTGTCTCATGACGGAAAGTAAAGTATCTCAAACTCATTAATAATTAATTAACCAATCATATTGCGTTATGATGCTTATGATGTTAATCTGAGTGCATATCCACAACGGGCGAGCTTGAAAGATATGCCTGGCCACTGATCAAAATTAATTCATTCAGTGACTTATTCGTATGAGATGTTATTTCAGATCCCCCAATTTGGACTGGACTAGATTTCAAGTCCTGATCGCAAATTGTGCGGATTTGAAATCTAGTCCTATTTCGGTTGGTTGAGATTTTTTAATTAACGTGGCCGAAGATAAAGGATTTTTCGCACTTTGATAATATTATGAATTGGAAATATGAATTTAATTTCCAAACATTCTATTAATTAAAAGCTGTTGTCGACGATAGTAGCCCTTGGCAACTGGTCTCAGTTCGAACAATGGGTTTACAAAACCTCACATTATACATATAATCGTTGTTGGCAACTGCAAAATTACAAGGTCAGTGATAAACTAAAATGATTAGAACACATTAAAATGGAACTAAACTTATTTATACTTGATAGCCTAATCAGGTCTCAGCTAAGAGCCATGGCACAGGCACATATGGTCTAGTGAAGGTTATTATTTTTTGTGGTAATTAAATTCGGAAACATGAATTAAATTTTCAAACATTTTATTAAAAGCTTTTATCGATGACAGCCGTCAGCCTAGCCTTTGGCAATTGGACTCAGTTCAATAATAATGGGTTTATAAAATACTACACAGCAACAGTTAGCTGTTAATTATTCTGATGACGTATCTGATCAGTGGTTGAACGGTTTTAGCTGATTTCGTCCTATAGTGACCTTAGACGGCAGAAGATTTGATTGGTTGGTGGGTGGACGGGGGATAGGGCTAGAAAAACTCTAAGGGGTCTGAGAGCATGCAGATGTCATTTTGTTCATTATACGTCCAACCGTAAAAAAATCTCCATGGAAAGCGTGAAAATATTGAATATACATCCCAACTGTTGGCAATTGGTAGTTTCGTTAGATTTAATGCAATATATAAGGCAGACTTTTTTGACTGAATCTCCTTAGATTTCATGAACTGATATAGCATAATATGACGCTCCAAATGGCAAAGATTGATTGGTTCAATTCTGCATGCATAAACATAGTCGGACTTTTTTTCCGGCCTATACCGACCAAAAAAATTCGTAAATCAAGAAATGAGTGAAAAGTCTGGCCTAAGGAAAGTTAGTTTAGTCAGTCAGATACTTCGCAAAATTTTGTGGGGCGTGAGCTAGGGAGGGAGTGGCTAAATTTATAGGTTGCCAGCATATCTGACCACCTTTTCTAGTTCTGTACACCTTTTTCCTTAGATTTCATGCAATATGCAGCTTAAATTAATTTTTAGGGCTTTTTAAGGCTTTCATGGTTGGATTTTTTTCGTTCCAGCTTTGTTACACAGTTTTCAGCTATCATTCAAAGGGTTTCAGAAACTATGAGGGGACAGTTGCCACCCTCCCCCCCCCCCTCCCCCAGTGTCCGCCACTGGTCACGTATAGCCCCACTACAAATGGCCGCATGTACACCTCAATCGCAGGATTGTAGTCCGGCATCGAACCTTCGATTATAGACTAGATCTTGGCAACTACAAACTGCAATTTACAGCAGGTCAACAATATTTCCTGAAAAATTCACCTCCCACGAAAGCCCTTGAGTTCAATGTTTTACCCCAATCTTTGTTGTTGACAGTTCTCAAGTGATCTGCTGGGTATCTGTTATTTAAGCTACCAAACTCTCAGTGGACATTTAGTGATGTTACCACCCCGGCAAAGCATGCGAAGTAAGACCTAGATTTGCCGCAAGTCAACGACTCGCACTGCAACGAGTAAAACGAGTGAGCGAATAAAACGAATGGGCGAGCTTGAGCTCCCGTCATCTTTCACCTCAGTGATTTGAGTTCAACCGCGCAGTTATAAATAATACACTGGCACAGACCATAACAAGCTTTCGTTGATAGGGATACAACTACCTGAAAAATACAAGGAGAAATTCGTCGTTTCGAAGAAGGGCTCGAAACGTCGAATTTCTCCTTGTATTTTGTAGGGACCAGCGAAAATCTATGAATTTGCCCAAAGAGCGTGCACACTCATCTAGGAGGCTTATAGTACCGGCTTACTCGACGTTGTACAAGGGCCTACTCGAATTCGTATAATAAATATGAGAGCCCAACATATAACTTTTAACAAAGCCATTAAAACAGTTTTAAAAGATTGTAAAGAATTTTTGATTTCGTCTTTCAGTAACTAGTAGCAAGTCTAAGGAAGACCAAGCAGGCGTTGCTTGAAACAATGCGAAATATTGTAACAATTTTTGGATGACGATTGATTTTGGATTGAACGAAAAACGGGGAATGAAAAACAGATTAGTATGTATGCTATGCTCATGTAATGCTCAAACAACCGCGTGAAATATAAGGCGCCACGTATAATGCTAAAATGCATCGTATGTTGCTAGCACTGTGTAGAATCAGAAAAGCAGCGATTGAAATGTCATTTGCCAGTCTCTTGTCTATATTACCTGTAGTCTCCTCTGTCGGGGGTGGAATTAAGCGGAATATTTTCCTTTAATATCCAATATCCCTACCTACAATATTCCTATCTTCAATATTCCTGAAATACAGATTTCTCAATTCAAGTATTCATATTCTTACCCAAATATTCATATTCTTACCAGAAATATTTATATTTCAATCAGAAATGCTCATAATCCAACCAGAAATACTCTATCCACGAATATTCTATCCAAACTAGTAACCCAGTACTCAACTGACTGATGCAATATTCCGCTCCAGCCCCGAACCTGTAGCCTCCTGTGGTTTATGACAGGTTGAAGAGCCTCAGTGAGGTCTCAAAGCGTTTCCCTCAGTGACATACGTTTGATGTATTGAAGTAATTCACGGTTGTTTATTATACTCAGTGAATATTAGGGAAAAAACATGACAATGCCATCTTGTAAACTCAAGATACGAGTTATTTAAAGAATGACAAGACACAAATTATGATGGTAATATTTCAACTCTATTTCAGGGTCATTGTCAAACCTAACTGACTAAATATTTACGAACGTGCTCAGATCTTTATAAGGAGAAATAAGAAGATGACGTAATCAACTGGAACGAAAGACAAAAATTGTAATGTTTTATAAAGCTTTATTGAGTAATATATATATAAGGACTTACACGCAGTAGCTACTAGGGTTAACAGAACTAAAATATATAAGTGTAATACATGTGGTTATATGTACGTATGATGACGTAACAATGATGCATATTAATAAGATTAATATTTGTCAGCATGCTATATATTGCAGAAATAACATTAATTCTAATCTTTTACTGTTTCTCGAAGCTCTGTATATAAAATTTAGTAAGCAAGAACTTAATAGTGATTTTAAGGCATCGAAAAAACTAATTGTTTTTCCGTAATTTATTTGTTTGTAAATATAGCGCCTCATCCGCGTACCAGTTGATTACGTCGTCTTCCGATTTCTCCTTACAAAGATCTGAGAACGTTCGTCAATACTTAGTTTGGTTTGACAATAAACCTGAAATAGAGTCCGAGTATCACCACCATAATCGTTGTGTCTTGACATTATCATGCGGAGTATTTTTTTTAGTTAAGGCCCGTTTACACTTGCAATTTTTGCTGCGATTTCTAGCGCGATTTTCCGCTTCTGATGGATGAGAACGAGTAGATGAGCTATGAATGTTCTGAGTAAATGTTCCTTCATCTGAACATTGATCACTCATCCACTGCTTCACATCCATCAGGAGATAAAATTCGCACTAGAAATCGCAGCAAAAATTGCAAGTGTAAACGGGCCTTTATATATTTCTTAAAATTGTTTGCTGGAGAAGAAATTGCGTTTATGTGTTGACTACGAGGTATAGAATCAGCAAGATAAGCTTCAGCGGACAGTTGGGAAAAAATACAATACGCACGTGACGGTGAAGGACCAGATTTATGAATAAATGTTGACTAACATAGATAATGATCGAGTTATATTGTTATTCTTATGAGTTTCACAGCGGCCATCTTCCCTTCAACAGACTATGAACACGCTAATCCCTTCAATGTAAATTGATTTCCAAGGGGGGAGTGTAAAATTTAAAATAACAAAAGCCTAAAGATATAAATCTAAAATTACCGCATAACGAAGTGTATTGCAAATCAAATTATATCAGGCAAGTTGCACGTAGAAGCGAGTTGAAACTTGCTAAGCTCTTGGCGTTTCTAATTTCAACTGGTAAATTGTTCCATAATTTGGCACCTCTGGCTTATATTCTTTTTTAAAATATTCCGTTTTAGGAAGAAGGAAGATTTAGCTTCCTGCCAGAATTTCGTATGTCGTAGTCACGTGAGGTCTGACAAATGAGCACTGGAAAATATTTCAGTAAGTATACCCCAGGAGCAAAACCATGCATAATCTTACACATGAATCTGGCTTTCAATACTGTACATGCAGTCACCGTTCTTTAAGTATTTTCGAAGCGAGCTCAGCCAATGCAGCTTTTGATTGACTGTGCTCGTTTGGATAACCCATAATCATGTGTACAATACATTCTGTACCAAAATAGACCATCAGTGATTGAGGAAGGATTCTTTCATTGATCAGCAGGAACGTGATTGCTTTGGCACACTCACTCACAGTGAGTTTGAGCTACCGAGTGAGCTTTTAAAATTTAGGCAACTTGATTTCTGTCACCATAATCTTGTGTGTTTAATTATTATGAAGTACAGTAACACATGGGTTGGGTAAACATTATTTTGACCAATGTTGAGGTTGGGTAAATAAAACATTTACAGTATTTTTCGCTTCTCTTAGGCACCAACCACAGGTACAAATAATGAACGGTCAAGGAAACTTCGGATTGATACCTTATTATAGGAAATTAACGATGCACTTTATTAACGCGGATTTTAAGAATTCGCGTTAATTTAATTAATGTTAATTTATGTCATCGTTAATTCTAAGTATGTAATTTTGATTTATCGTTAGTTAAAAAGACATTGATTTGTTTTATATAAAACTAACTCTTCTAATATCAAAATACAGCATATTAACGTAAACTAAAAGCATCAGTGCTCCTCTCAACTCAGTTCACTATCCGATTCGCATTAAATTTAATTAATTTGTCAACCATGGAGATCAGCTTCGCGTTAATATAATCATGTTTTAAAAGACCTAGAAGCAATCCGCGTTAATTTGATGTCGCGTTAATTTATGTCGTGTTAATAAAGTGCATCGTTAATTTCCTATAATAAGGTAGATTCGAAGTTCTTCTTGTATTTTTCAGGAAGTTGTATCCCTATCAATCCGAAGCGTCTTTATTATTGCCACTATATACCTACACTGGCACGGACTGTTCTATTATTTCAAAGCCGCTTCCTTGTCACCCTGAAACTTCAAACGTCCAAGGTTTGGTGGAGGGCGAGGGTCGAACTGCTTCCCCCACCCATCTCCTAATAGGTTAAATCCCGACTAGGGTGGGCTGTGCGACGCATGGACTTTGATTCCCTCCCTGTTGACCGACCTCGACATTTTTGGTAGGTAGCGTCGCTCCACGCCACCATGCAGTATAACTGAATGGGCTAACTCCAAATTCCGAAAATGTGCACTTCAAAACTTAACGATTGTTGTAACAGGGTTCGTAGTCTCCAAGAGCAAAAAAATTCAAAGACTCTCAAGGATTTTTTCTGCCTATTTTCAAAGTCTTTTCAAAGACCTTTGAGAGCAATCAGCTGTCGAAAAATTGCGAGTGTAAGCGCCATTGTTACCCGGTAATTAGTCCCGTCAAATTACATCCTAAAATGCGCCTTTTCGTCGATATTGCAAAAACCTTGCTCTTCAATCAACCTATTTTATTAGCTAGGAAATCGTATAATCAAACACTTACTAAAGAATCTAAAGACTTTTAAAGACTTTCTTCGCGTTTTCACACAATTCAAAGACTTTTCAAAGACCTTAAAGACCTGCATTCAAATTTAAAGACTTTCAAGGATTTCAAAGACCGCTACGAACCCTGTGTAAATTAGTAGCTTAGATTTAGTGTAGACTAGATTGGTATATCTTAATATATAATTTCATATACATGTTAAGAAATAATGTTATAATCATAAAATATATAAGTAAACTGCATGGGACATTTGAGTAACAAGAAATACGAAAGTTAACTCCAGATGAAGGGCCGAAATAACCGCTCCAGACGTCGAAATTCTCCTTATAGATTTTCAGGTAGTTGCAATCCTACCACCAAAAGCTTGTTCAATTAAAAGGAAAGAATAAGTTTTAAGTATTTTAGTATTAAACAAGAAAGAATGAACGTGCGTGACGAAAGTTATGCATGTTGATTTGTGGTCAACCAAGCGAGGAACTGTGCCAAGATACGTGTGTGAGACTGATTTTATGCATGATTGATTTCCTACATACTCTTTACAAAAAGTTTAAAAATTATGCGAGAAAGGCTACTATGGCGAGAAAGGCTACTATGGTAACAAAGTGCACATTTAGAGGTCGCGCGTTGGACGTATATAATGTGCATCAAATTGTACTTTGACAGTACATAAAACACCTTCCATATTTTGTACTTCCATTCAAATTGCGTTTCAAACCTTCCATTTTTGTACGCAAGCCATTTTTCAAGTGGTTTTAAGAAACAGCTGCTGTACTGGAAAATGTACTTTTGAGAATAATTTTGTGATACCAGAAACCCCAAAAGTTGTCACAAATTTTCCCTTAATTTTCAATTTAGTGGACATTTTACTGATGTGTGCAATAGTTGTACAACATGCATTGAGATTGTACATACAATTAATGAAACTGGAATTAGAATGCACAAATGGGAAATATTAAACAACAGAATGTTTGCCATTCGTGCATGTTTCAATTTCAATATAGTTGTACCAAAACTATAAAATTGACGAACGGTAACATGTTCAATGTTAACAAAACGAATAAAACCCAGGACAGGTAATAAGATTAACAAGTACTGTTCAATTATATACCCATGTAATAATACATGTAGAAAGGCTGCAACATCCCCCCCCCCCAGTCGGTATTTAGTCGAACAGATTCTACTAAAAAAATCGGGCAAATTTCTAGCCTGTCCGGCTTGGTGTAATGTATTTTGTCATGATATTAATCTGAGATATTTATATTATTATTTAGTCTGTATGAATGACAGATTGAAATATATTTCATTAAATTTGGCTATCGAGCCTCGTTTACGCGTATGTGACATTAGTTTAAAGCCTAATGACTCGATCATGAAAACCATCTATAGCCAAGATGACGTAATTTCAGAAAGCGTGTATTATTCTATTCAGCTATCAAAAACCCATGTGGGCCAATTTTTTGTCCACCCCCCCCCTCCCAGCCTAAATTTTTTCCAGACCGTATACGCCTATATGTATACACAAGGACGCCGGAACTGGGGGCAGGAGGGGCAGCCGCCCCCGTTGCCCTTTATCAGGAGGGGCAAGGGGGGAAAAGGTGCCCTTTCAATTTAAAGAATTGCCTTGGCAAAATAGCGAATTGTCAGAAATGTTAGTGCAATTCTTTTACGAATTTGCTTCAGAAAACGCAAGAAATGCAGTCATCGAGCTTCAAGAATAGCACAATCGCCTGGCGGAGAATACCCTGGTTGCCAGAGGTTCTGTATCTTTCGCCTTATTCTCGCTCGTATTTATTTTACGCGAGGCGAAGAGAACCTCTGGTGGCACGCGATACAAATCTCTCTTCTTTTGGTACAAAATTTGTACCAAGCACATGATTGGTTAGTTATAATTAGCAGTCACATGAAGTGATGTGATTGGCTAGACAAAAAAACCTGTTCATAAATCTCAGAGAACAGTATGTAAACAAAATACAGAAATAATACGAACGTATTAAAATGATTTACTTTGTGACTTAGTTTGTTTCGCTATAAAAAGATTTTCTGCGCTGGAGATGAGCTGCCATCGCGTCATGACTTGAGTTGATGGCATGACATGTTCACTCTATTACAGTATTAATATTTGTAAAATATAAAGTGTTAGTCACTTGCTTTATATCGTTCAAGGTTTTAAATTTTGATACTTCTTTGACTTTAATAGTTATTAATATGATTTATTTTGCCAATATTTTCCCGTTGTCTGTTTAGGGTAACCATACAGGCTCCGTTGCACACACATACTAAATATTTATATATTTATATCCTTGCACTTTTGACTTTATACGTTCGCTAATACAAACGGCATTCCACAAATGTAACAATCAGTAAGGTTGCTTTTTGCTTTGCGAGAATAATCTACATGTTTGTAATGAATAATCTACATGTTTGGGCTGCTTATTTTTAATATTTTACACAAGGCTACCAAACACTGCAAACGGTCTGAAGAGAGCTATTTTGGTAGTATGATAAACCCGGAAGTTTAAAAACGTCACAAAATATAAAACCGGTTTTGCAAGTTCTCAAACCGCAACGTCAGCATGGAAGAGGGATTTGTATCGCGTGCCACCAGAGGTTCTCTTCGCCTCGCGTAAAATAAATACGAGCGAGAATAAGGCGAAAGATACAGAACCTCTGGCAACCAGGGTAGGCGGAGAACCCCCTCTCATCTAATAAATAGAAAACATGATTAGGCGAAGTTCAACTCGCGATGTTTTGCAAACATCTCTTAGTATATATCAATTCAAAAGTGCCCTTTCACGAAAATCTGCCCCCCTTGCCTTCACATCGTTCCGGCGTCCCTGTGTATACATGCAAAATAAAAACTCTTGACGTTACTAATGAAACTGACGAATTGAAACAGTTCGTAAACTTTCGACCTTACAACATATATATGTAATATCTCGATAGTGTATACACATTCCACTATTTGTTAAAAAAAAACTATATAAGTTTTTAACATAACTCCATTAATGCTCCGTATAAAAATCGAGACAGGTAACAAGTCAAGTGACAAGTGTTCATTTATATATGCAAAATGAAAACTAACAAATTGAAGACTACTTAATTAACTGACAACAAAAACGCCTTGAAACTGGCGACCGTATAATCGATTATCTTAAATTTCATCTAGAATACAGAATATATATAGCAAGGCTATATTAATACTCCACAAAAAAGTCTCAACAGGTAGCAGGTTTAAGTGTTCGTCGTTGAAATATGCAAGATATAATAAGGCAATATGGAAAGTGATTCATTATTGTAAAACAAAATAACTGGGATATTGAAAATGGTATAACAAAAAAGCTTGAGAAAAGCTTAAACCCACAGCGCATAAAATAAAAATGACAAGCCCCCCCGTCTAATCGCGAACAGTATAGGCATTGCATGGTCGATAACTAAAAGAACAATTATATAATGACAAACCTGACAAGCTCAGTGCCAAGCAAACCAATTTCGATTACTTTATTTTCTTTCCTGCGAGGAAAAGACAATATTAACACAACAACAATGAACAAGTGAGAATCCTCCCAGTGTGAATACAGGTAGAGCAATTGAGACATGAGTATAGCCACCCTGTAAATTTCATTTACTTTGTCAGTTGGCTGTCAAGTGCCGTTAACGCAATTTGTTGCTGCAACCAATCAATTTCACGCATTTCAATGAGTAAATTAGAAGTTTTCTATATTAACTAATGACTTGTATATGATATTGATCGCCTGCACTGCGAAAAATTTGAGTAAAATAATGCACCCCAGTGACTCAAATATCGAGTAAATTTACTCAAATATACGAGTAGAATTACTCGTATTTTTTAGAAGTAAATTTCTACTGAAAAAAAATCAGTAAATTAAAAACTTTACTAAAAAAATTGAGTAAATTTGCTCATAATTTGACTCAAATTTTGAGTCACCGTGCGGGCAATACTCGGTTACTCAAGTTTTGAATAAAAAAAACTCGGGGATTTTTTGCGGTGCAATCGGCTGTCTCGAACCTGCAAGTATATGAGATTGAACCGAATACATTTATATACAGACAGTACAAAACTGTACTTTTATATTCACTTCCGCAATATAAAAGTATATAATGTGCCAAGTTTGCAAGGCCATGCATATATCTCTTTGCCCAAACGAGAGTACTCTCTGTACACTAGTGATTTCTACTTAAGACTTCTTTAATTAAAGAAATCAACTTTAAATATTATATGCCGTGCTTCAAAGTTCATGTATTCTTGCAACTCATTGGACGAGAGCGTGTCACGTGAAAGTCATGAAATTTGACTGTCTCCTGGCAACAGCTCTAAGCGGTGGACGTTAACCCTAGTTCACAAAAAATCGTTTAGCAGTCGCAGACATGTGCCGAATTGTTATGTGAACACAAACGCAGATTCCCGCAGACTGTCTGAGAACGATCGACGACGGAACGCGAAAGTTGAACTTGGTTCAACTTTCCCGATCGACACAGCAGTCATACGATCACTATGAGTTTATGCGAACACGATCGGCGACATTATATATCACAATGCAGTGCAACTATATAGTAAGCAAGATGGAGGACGATCTAAGCACACAGTCGCAGACATCTGCGATATGTCTGCGACTGCTTAACGATTTTATTTGAACTAGGCTTTACTTTTATTCACCGCCACCGGTGAATAATATTAATAAAATCGTTCAGTTAAGCAACAATGGACCATTTGCATTATAGACTAAATTTTGATCTAGACAAAAAATTCATCACAGCTTGAAAGAGCATCACAAAATTAGTAATATTCCAAAGTTTCGTTGCGAAATGTTGTAAAATGCGGATAATATAGCCTTGCGAAGTTTGCCGTTT